CGCGCACTTATATTTTCATTAGTTAGACTTAAACCTGTAGATATTATAGCCTATAGCCATTTATTCGTTTCTTGCCATGCCTTTCTAGCTATCCTCCTCGATTGCCGTTTTTAGTCTTCTTTCCTAGCTGCCGTTTTCAGCTGGCCGATTAACCGATTATAGCTGTTTATAGCTGTAATCTTAGGTTGATCGGTACTGGGCTAGTTGTTGGTAGTTAGGTAGCCCTTTTCGTGCCTCCGTTAGCGTGCCTACGCTGCTCCTGTTTAGTGGCGACTACCTAGTAGCTCGAACCTTACCTTATCTTAGGAGTGACCTTTTGCGACCGTTTTTGTAGTTATTAGGTTCAGGATACGACGATCAGGAGATTCCCTGTTTTTTAATTAATTAAGAGCTATTTTCGTGGCTCCAGAGCCGTTTTCGTGGCTTTTGGCCTTAGCTTTTTAGGTTAGGATTAATAGGGAGGGCAGATAACCATGGCGATCATTAATAATCACGCCCTCTTATTAGCTTTTGATTAGTTTACCTAAAAGCTCGTTCGCCGATTAGTAGATCTATCTTATTCTCGTTTCTTAGTTATTTCTTTTGAAGGAGCTGTGCCCGTTTTCGTCTGGTTTTGCCTCCGTCGTTTTTCCAGTGCCTAGATGGTAGTTCTCGCCCTTAATTAATCTGACTAAGTTACCGTTACTACCCCTTTTTATAATATACTCATACGCGCTTAAAGGCATCCGTTCTTTACCGATTAGTTTATTTTAATTATAAGAGGCTTACCGATAGCTCCGATCGCCCTTGTTTTATCCCTTCCAGTTAGTTACGGTACCTAGGGAGGTCTTTCCTTACCTCCTTAACCGATAGGTGCTACGATACCTTTAATTACTATACGAAGATACCGATAGACCTTATACCCACGAACCTAATCGGGACCTACCGATTAACGCGATAGACCTATAGACGATACCGCGATATACGAATTAAATAGGATATTAAATAAGATAGCCCAGAAAAAAAAAATAGTTATAAGTTATAGTCGGAAATAATTAGGATTGCCTAGAGACCCTTCTTATCGCCCTTACCGATATATAGTTAGTAGGAAGAGCCTAGAGAGCCCCTAGAACCACGTATAAGGGAGGGATCGAGGGTTAAGGGAAGCCCGGTAGATGCTGCCGGACGAATATAAGAACGGTTATACGAGAATAGCCAGAAACGAGTCACAGAAACGGGCATTGAATAGGATATATTAGTTAGTTTATAGGATTAGGAATCAGTTGAAAAGGATCGGTAATAGCTATGAACGAGAAGGACGGAGATTACGTTATATCGTATGGGATTGTTTCTTTATTTCTTACGGGAGCTACGCTTGTTTTACCTGCCCCGTTATAGTTCCTGTTTTCCTAACGGATCCCTGTTATTTCTTAATAGCCCTAATAAACCTAGCTCGCTTCCAGTTAATTAGGGTTGATTAGGAATAGGTTAATTAGGTTAGTTATAGTTATAGCTCCGCTAGCCTAGTTCTTGTTATTAGATCTTTCCTATTTCCTATTAATCGTTAATTAAACTGGCTTAGCTCCTAGTTAGTAGCGATTGAATAGGTTCGGGATTGATTAGGTTTAGGCATAGTTAGGCACGGTTACAGTTACCTACCCCACCACCTACTTGTTGCTATTGCAATCGTTCCCAGTTAACCCTGTTTCTTCCTAACTTATCCTATTAGCCTTTAATTAAACTAGCTAGCTTTTAGTTAATTAGGGTTAATCGGGATTAAGTTAATTAGGTTTAATAGGAACGAGAGCCACCGTACCTGTTACTATTAGGAGTTTAATTACTCCTTAGGAATTAATTGAACTAGGGAGGCTATAGTAGTGCGGTGGATCTAGGCCACGTAGCCTTTTCGATGTATATTTATATAGGTCGCGTACTTATATTTTCATTAGTTAGATTTAAACCTATAGATATTATAGCCTATAGCCATTTATTCGTTTCTTGCCATGCCTTTCTAGCTATCCTCCTCGATTGCCGTTTCTAGTCTCCTTTCCCAGCTGCCGTTTTTAGCTGGCCGATCAACCGATTACAGCTGTTTACAGCTGTGATCTTAGGTTGATCGGCATTAGGCCAGTTGTTAGTAGTTGGGTAGCCCTTTTCGTGCCTCCGTCAGCGTGCCTACGCTGCTCCTGTTCAATATATAGGCTCTTCCGAGTATATATAGATTAATATTAATAGGATTCCAGAGGAACCTCTTCCCTTACGCGATTACTTATTATTTAGAAAGAATATTACTAATTAACGTATCGAAAGCTAATAATTACGTCTTTACGACTATAAAGCTATCTTTTAAAGGATAGGGCTTCTCCGTATACGCTTAATTTATCCTATATAAGCTATATATTAACCGAACTATAGAAATACTTCGGTAAACTCGCCTCCGAGCGTCTATAGGAACGGTATTAACCTATAAACGAAATAGCGCTTATCTATATCTATATACTTATAATCCGATTCGAATTTACCGAGTTCGTTCGTATTTAGAATTCCTACCGCATCCGAAAATAACGTAATCGCCTTTATGTTATTTATAATTAACCTTAAGTTCTTTATAATATATATAATTTAACGATTACTACTGACTACCGTATATTATTAAACCAAGATAAATAATAAAAGCTTAACCGCTTATTAAAGTATAATAATATCGACCTTAATACCTACCTACCTAAGGAAACTATAAATATATACGAGAAAATCCTAAGTAAGATAAGCGGTATCTCTAAAGATATCGCTAATACGGATAAAGACTAATCTTATATTATCTAGTACTTATATTTACGGGACGGTTTTAATTCGTATATCTCTACGGGAATAAAGCCTAAGCCGTTTAAGTTCCCGCGTATCGATAAAAGCTAGGACTATTTTAAATAAATAATAAAAGAAGCGAATATCGATTTATAAACTCTAGATCCTATCGAAATAAATAATAAAGTAAATAACCTTCCTTAAGGCTATCCGATATAAGTTAATCTCTTTTACTTCTTACTTTCCGATACCTTAGTATAGCTACGCTTACGCGTTATAGATCTCGTTCCATACGAAGAAACGACTAGCTCCTTCTTTTTACCCGTACTCGCCTAATTAACCTTACGCTTTTCTTCCTTTTCCTTAATTAACTCCTTCTCTTTCTTTACCCTAGCGGTATTATTCTCGGATATCTTAAGCTTTAGCTTAATATCCTTAATATTAACCTACTCTTTTTTAATCGGTTTTTTAACTTTATATTTAATAAATAGCTTTACCTCCGTACTTACTTTCGCTTTCTTTCCTTTATTTTCTGCCTCCTTTTTCTTAATCTTCTTTATTATTTCTTTAATTAACTTTAGCTTCGTTAAGGATATACTACTTTACTTTCGTTTATATCGTTTCTCCTCTTTCTCGACCTTCTTTCGCTTAATCTTTCGGCTAACTTCTTTTTCCTATTCCTCCTCTTCTCTTCCTATACGGTCTTCTATAATTATATCAAAGTAAAACATTAAGTAATACTTCTTCTAATCCTATCCGCTATTCCTCGTAGACGCTCTTAATCGCCCGTACGAAGGTATTTATATATATACGTATATATTAAGGAGCTCTTTAATAATATATTCCCCTTTTTCGTTTAGTCCTAGCTCTTAAACGTACCTATTACCCCCTAGAATAACCTACCTAACTATCCTTTACTTCTTTTAACGGTATTATTCCTCGACGTAAAATAAATCGAAGAAGTATTAAATAACTACTTACGGGCTTTTATATCGTAGGATATTAATCGGTATAAATCTCGCTTACCTATTAACCGACTTATAAAGTTAAATCAAGGATATTTCTACCGTAGTATATACGAATATCTTTCGCTTATTTCCGAGCTATAATTAAAATCTAACTTTAGCTATAATCGTTTTCGTAGGCTTACGGTCGTTAATAGCGCTTAGTTCGTAAGCGGCTTTGCTTATATTATAGGCTTTTTTAAAGCTTAGTAGCTCGCTAAAGCCTAAAGTAGTTAAAGTAAGCGTCCGTCGAATTAGCTATATTAATTTTAACTTTAATTTAATCCGTATTAATCGAGGCGGGTTATTTATAAGGTCGATAATATTTTCCTTAGGTATAAACGAATTTAAATTCTCCCTATACGTTTTATACTTCTTTAGATAAGGAAGTATCCGTTTAATATTAGCATATAGTCTTAAGCTCTTACGATAACGGCTTAGTAATACTAGAAACGATATAATAAGAGTCTTAGGTAATTAAATAGTCTTTATATAAGTCTTCTACTAGTTTATAGAATATCGCTCCTTTACGATTAATCGTCTTTAATTAAATATAGCTCGCGCTTAGTTTATAGAACTTATATCTACCTATATCCCTTACCGATAATTTATCGTAAGTAGGTCCCGTGGTAAAAAAATTTTATTAAGCTAATTAATTCCCGACCTAATCCTATATAAGCGGTAAGGAATCATTTCGAACTAACTTAAGTAAGAATAACTTTATTCGTATATATATAAGTTATTACGAATATAATATTAAGCTATCGGGAACTTACATTAAACATATATACCTCTTCTTATTAGGGGCGTATATATAGACGATAAAACTAGGGCGTTCGACCGAAAAGTGGAGTTTTTTCCCAGTTATAGCTATGCGACTCCGTAAGGGTGGCCGCCCCGGCCCGAAGGTACTTGTACCTAGGTATTTGCCTACCTGCCAAACCTGCCTGCCTGCCTTAGGCACCTAACTTGCTTTGCATTGGGCACGCAGCAGCACACGGTGTGATGCACTTGGGTCGGCGTATCGCATACCTGGCAGGCGGGGATTCTTCCTTCTGACCACCAGGCAAGTTACCTGTTAGGCAGACTGCAAGAAGAAGTACAAGAAGGAGAAGATTCCCCAACCGTCCGGACAGTTCTGCACCTCACTGGATTCGGGGTAAGGGGCAGGGAGTAGGGGTTGGGTATGGGAGCACGTAGGGGGGCGGAGGGAGTAAGACATACATCTGCGTGCTACGACAGAGACTACCTACCTACTACACAGGGTCCTGAGACAAGTGAAGCAGCACCGAAATGAACTGCAGCCATCATCGTCATCACCGACGGCCGCCTATAACCCAACCCAGCCAATTGTCATGTACACCTACGTAAGTGACGGCTGGTCGAGGTACCTACCTAACCTAGGTGCTTATTCCTACACATATAGGTGCCTATGCACGCCCCGACGTCACTCATCTCTCTCCCTCCTCACTACCCGACGATTACCGCCCACCCGTCTCTTCCAACAAATACCCTCACCCCCCCTTCAACACGCCCACGCACCCAGCCGACGACCCCAGACCCCGGCTATACTAAGCCTCATTTCTCTCGCTCTCCCGCCCTCTTCCTTCCCCCCCCCTCCCCTTCCCCTCCCCTACACCAAGCACACCTACGTCACCTCCCCCCTCCCCTACCTAGGCCCTTACCCTGTTTTCCTCGCGCCATGACGTCCGCCGGCGGCGGCACAACAACAACCACACCAGCCCTCGCAGGCTGCGCAGAGACCAACCGCCTGCGCGCGCCCTGCCGGCGGTCTGTCTGCGGCGGCCGGGGCGCACCGGTCTGCGACGTGTCTCGCATTCCCCGCGCGCAGGTCGGCGCCGGGAACCCCCCCCCTCCCCCCTCTCCGGGCGCCACGCGTGCACGTACCTACCTGCCTGCCCCTCGCGTCCCGTTGCCCTGTGCCGCGAGAGCGAGAGCGAGAGCGAGAGACATCGGCATCTACTGCCTTCCGCGCACGCACAGGTGCGCAGGCAAGGCGCGCTCGCGGCTACGGTCGGTCCAACTACGCATGGCTCCCAGGGGAATGTAGGAAGGTGTCTGTCTCGTCGGCGTCGCGAGCAGCCTACATCCTGGGCGCCCACCGGCAGGTACACGCCGCGCCGCCTTCGTTTTTTTTTTTTTTTTCGTCCGCGGCCCCTGTGTCTCCGTCCGGCTTCCCCCACCTGGCAGCTCCGCATCGAGGTAGGGTCGGGCCCGTACCGGACCCGGGTCCGATTCGTCGGCTAGCTCAACCCAACCCAACCCCGCTTCTCTCTCATCCCTCCGTAAGCGACCCCGGTAGAGACAATAATCTTTCGGCTGGAAAAAAGAGGAAAAAAAAGATAGGTATTGTCACGGAGCTTTGCCGCTCTAAGCAACGGATTGTCGGGTAGGCTGCGCGCAGGGGGAGCGAGGGAGTGTAAGTGAGAAAAAGTCATATTTGGCCGACTTGGGTAGGTAGCTAGGAAGGAAAGACAAGAAAGAGTGCGAAGCTAGTCTATATATATACATATATATATATGTGTGTGTGTGTGTGTGTGTGCTCAACCGGCTTGGGTGAGCTAGGTTGCACTCAATGTAGGTGTAGTAGCTCTTGGTGAAGATGGAGCTACCAGAGACGTACGCCTACGTGACAGATATATATCATAAGCAAAAATCTTGACCTCATGCTGATTACTTGGTATCTTGCCCCTCATAGCCTTGACCTTCCTTTTAAGTCTCAAAAAGTGCCATATGCGGTAAATCCAACCTCATCTTGCTACGGCCTTCGATCTGATTCCGCCTCTATGCCAAGAAAGCTCTCTTGCCCAAGTTTTCCGTCTATGGAATGTATGCATAGAAGGTGTAGTATGTCTACCGCCGTAAACCCGAGCCGCCGAGAGCAAAATTTTGTCGTCATCTTCGTCGCGGCCCTCCTCTGCCGGTTCTAGCACCTAAACCAATCTCCCGGGGGATGCGTAACGTGCGCCGCGATATAACACCTCATAAAACAAATACAAAACCCCCGACCCCCACCACGCCAAACTCCTCTCGCTAGAGAGCGTAGGCACCGCCCGGCACGCTTAGCTGCCGGGAACGTCGGGGCGAGGGGGCAATGCGCGTACGGGGGAGGCACCCTTCCCTACAAGGTGCCGCCGCCGTACTCGCGGTTGTGGGCCTGCACCTCGACGGCGGGCGCGGCCTGCTCTGCCTCGTCGAAGTTCCGCGCGGGCTGCCGGCCGGCTGCGGTCCTCTCCTCGACCTCCCGGTCCGTCAGCTTCATGATCGCGTCCTTACGCTCGACCGCCTTCCAATTCCACTTGGCGTGCTCGTCCTTGGCCGCCTCCTCCGCCTCCGCGAGCCACATGCGCCACTGCGGCGTGTCGGGCGCGGCGCCGCTTCGGTGGACCCAGGCGGTGCGCCCCGTTTCGCGGACCGCGTACCACAGCGTGCGCGTGAAGCTCGCCACGCCTTCCCGCGGGTCTTCGCTGGTCTTGCGGTCGGCTTTCAGCGATTGCTTAGGCGTGATGTCATCGATGCGGTACCGGTCTAGATCCCAGAAGAGCCGTTTCGGAAGCAGTCCCATGGCCCAGTAGAGCCCATTCAAGACGATATAGGCCGCGCCGACAAAGATTTGGATGTTCCACTTACAGTTACCCAGTAGGATGACTGACACCATCAGCAAGCAGGTGCCAGCTCCCATGAGCACTCTGTAGGCGTTTCCGCTAACGTGGTATTCGCATTCCTCGGTACCAGAGTACAACTCACGAGCCACGTCCTCGGTGCACTTGACGAGGAGGAAGGCACCCTCGCGTGTTCGGATGATCACGTCGCCGGCTGGCACCTTGTTGGTGTGGCTGCGGATCATCAGGAGAGGCTTCCACCAGGAGGCCCAGCCAACGACCGAGCTAGCTAGAGAGACGAGGGACACGGCGAGGATTGCCGTGCCGTCCTGGTAATGTGCGGCAAGCGCGATGATGCCTCCCGTCACAAGAGCAGAGAAGACCGACAGGACGTGGACGGGCGAGTATAGGGTGGCAGGGATGGCGGGCCGCCCCTTTGTGTTTGCCAACGTCGGGTTTGCCACGAAATCCTGCATCTTCACCGTGATACGTCTCGTTATGCCGGGACTGGGTGCAGATCCAGCCTCGACCTCGGCGGCCGAGTGGAAACCCGAGGACGTACCGGCGGCGCCCGCCGCAGCCCCGTTGAGGTTGCCCTGCGGGGACCCGCCCGGCTGGGAGGTAGGTAGGGTCCGGCCCGGAGAGGTGACCGTTCTGCCATTGAAACGCATGTGGGTGATGAGGTTGGCCGTAACGCTCCTATGGGGCCCACGGACCTCGACGCCACCGGCACTATTCCTATCGGTATGTGAGATCCTGAGAACCTGGAACCCGTACGGCTGCACCGAATCGAGGGGGTGTATGATGTTGGCGAAGAAGCCCACGGTGTCGAGGACGACGCCGCTATAGACGCCGGTCAGCTTGGCAGTCGTCTCGGGCAGGCGCACCGGGCGAGAGGGCTTCAGGAAAGCCTGGGGGGCGGGGATGATACGCGGGAGGAGGCAAAAGATGCTCGCGGTAATGGTCTGAGCGTGTTCGGCGATGGACGACTCGCCGATGACAGCGAGCAGGGTAACGACATCGAGACGCCACCCGTTCGGGCCCTCCGCGCCAGGGATATCAGAAGAAAACCATTTAGCAGCCTCGGATCTGCCAAGACCCGGATCTTCGTCGGCCATTGCCTGTTGTGTCTTCCGCCGCTACTCGCCCGAAGGTCTGGGGGACTCTCTACAGACCGGGAAATTGAGCTGAGCTACGAAGATAGTGTTACGCGCCGGGGGCTAAACTCAATGGATATCACGATGGCACGGGCCGGGGCGTTGGGGTGAGGGGGGCGAGTTCGAGGAGGGCAGTAAATGGATAGCAAATAGGCTGTATGGGTGACAATATTGTTACTACAAGGGCTGGTCGCTTCGAGAGGACGGGACAAAAAAAAGGTCGGTCGCAGCTAGGGACGTTTCATTGTGTGCGTATGTGGGTATACAGGTAAGTATTCTGCGTAGATACCGGCCAGGATCGAGCTAAGCGCTCGGTAGCAAGGCCAGGCCGTCTCGAGCCGCCAAGGTCGCAAGATAGGGTGGGATCGAAGGCGATGAATGAGTGACGAGCAAGCAGAGAGAGATTGGAGAACCGTAGAAGGGGAGCGGCGAATAAAAGGAACGTGAGTAGGAGGAGGGGAGGGTGGAAGGAGAGGGAGGAGGAGGAGGAACCGAGTGAAGAGGAGAAAGGAGCTGAGGTAGATGGCATAAGGGAAAGAGGCTGAGAAGCAGACAAGCGACCAGGCCTTTTGCGCGGATCGGCGTCCACGCTCTCTCGTCGTTGGGACAGGGTCATGTTCGCATTCTGTAACTTGCCGCTCGAAGCAGCCTAGCGTGAGCCGGGCCAGGTTGGGGGCGGCCTTTCAGGTCTGTTTTAGGTGCTGGGTTAGGTGGGTATTGCACCTGGCTCACGTACTTCTAGGGCAGCCGAGGTACCTACTACTACGCCATGCGTACCCGCCCACGGCGCCCTCGCTACCGCTAGCCCACCCGTTCTCACCAAGCCTCCGCCAATCGCGCGTCGGGCCCTTACCCAGCTTCTGTCCAGGCGGCTATGCCTCGCCCGCCCGTTTCGTGCTTAGCGGCCTAGTGTCCGCCCGCTGGCCACGCGCTGAGCGCGGTCGTCGCTATAGCACAGCGCTTTGGCGCAGCGATCGATCGCCTCGACGACCTGTCGCTTGTCGCTGTCACTAGTCGGCCGGCCGGTTGGGTGCTGTCAAACGTCAGCAAGCAACGGTCGGCAGCCGCTAAGCCCCTCTCATGGCACAAGCGAGGCCACTCAACCAGACGCCCGCCGTTTTCCATATCTGACCTGTCTCCCAGCCTGCCTCCCTGCCCTCCTCCGCGCGCGAATGAGATGGGCCTGTGCGGTCCAGAACGCATCGCCCGTTAGCCGTCCTAGATGCCTGACGGGAGGTCATGCTACCTCTGTGCTGTCTTGCAGGGTCTGGATTGAGTGGCGCGGCTCATCGCCTCCATGTTCTGTTGTGGCTTCCGACGCGGCTCTTTGTCCTGGTGACATACAAACAGTAGGCAATCCCATTAGTCTAGCACGGTAAAGAGGCTAGGGGAGGGAGTTTCTTTTCTTTTTTCTTTTCCTGTTTCCCCGCTCAGCCCGGATGCGAGGAGGGTGATTAGAGGCAGTCTGGCTTCAATGTAGGTGCGGCACCGGGCTGACAAGTCCGCCTGGCGCTGCCACCTCCCCCTCCCGGGACACTCAACACTCGCTCGCCCCAGGCCATGCCAACACAGCAAAGGGTACATTGCTCTCTTCTTTGTTTCCCACATGTGGACATGTTGAATTGACCGTAGAGAGAAGAGCATCGCCGTCTATTATGGATCTGTGATATCTGACGCCCGAGAAAGAAAAAAAAACCTTCGCTCAAGCCCGTAACCCCCAGGCCCAAGTAGAAAAATAAATCTACGACCACCTAACCGGACACCCGACCTCTAAACCTTCTCCCACCGCTGCCGGGCCTCGTATAATACTCAGGTGTCAGGTATCGGGTATCAAATGTCGTAAATTCGTGAAACCCCGTGCCATTGCGAACCCCCACCCCGCTTTAACGTGTCGAAATTCCGCCCGCGAGGGCACAACCAGTTCGTACAAGCCGGTACGCGACGTACCCGGTCCCGGGATTAGGCTTCCAGAGTGAGCTGAGCCAGCCGCTTCCGTTCATTCTCGCAGATCCCGTTCAGCGGCTGGAACCTCGCCGGGGGCTTGCCGTGTTTCTTGAGTACTGTAGGAATAAACTCTTCCGTCCACCGTCTTTCCCATTCGACCAGTACCCGCTCGCGTTCGTCCTGGCTCATGCAGGAATGATCGATGCTCCACCTCGCCAGCTGCTTCCAACCGAACAGGTTCATCTCCTCGTTCCCGACCATCACTTCGTAGAAGTCGTGCGACAGCTTGGACCTGAGATGAGGAGCGGTTAGTGCTAGAGGCTCCCCTCCTTAGACGAGGTGTCGCGTGCTCACCTGAAGAGGGTCCCGTTGTCACTATTGAGAGTACAGTGAACCTCGTGGGCAAGCAACTCGTAGATGCTATGCTCGTTCATGCGCTCCGTCAACCCGAGAACCATGTTCGAGATCGGACACGCCTCCACACACACGTCTTTTTCTTTCATCTGCCGCATGAGGTCCGGCTTCTTAGGCAGGGCGTAGCCGTGCCCGATCCGCTTAGAGTTGAGCCTAAGCGCGCAGTCGAGGTTGCCTTCGATGTCGTCGGGCGTCTCGCCGCAGTGGAACAAGAACGGGATGTCGGGACACTCCGCCTGGAATTGCCTAAATTCCTCCTCGAAGTATTTTAGCGGGTACGGTTTGCTGTACGATTCCTCGCCGACTAGGTCGAAGCCGGCGATGTATTGCGGCCACAGCTCCTTCATCTTCTTGCACTCTTGCAGCGCGTCCTTGACGCGCCCCTTATCGAACGATCGAGGGGTGCAGTATATGACCTTCATCCCGCCGAAAGAGGGCTTGAAACCGTTGCCACGTGGGATGTCGGTGCCGTCGACGTAAATCGGCTTGCCCTGAGAGTCCAGCAGCCTGTTTTCCTTTAGGTCTCCATTTTCGTTCATGTCTCCGATATCTTTCATAAAATTCTCGTATTCTTCGATAATCATTCTCATAACCGCAAAGTTGTCGGCGCTAGCGGAGCCATCGTCGCGTAGAACCTGGTTGGTCTTCATGAAATTCGGCCGGATCTCGGCATATTGGACGTTATCTGCGACGAATTCCTCCAGACACTTCCTCGTATATGCCCTAAATGCCTTCTCGTAGTTAAACAGGCCTTTCATCATTCTGGTGCGGCCATTAAATTTATCCCATGCCCTATGGGTATGCAGTCAGCCTCCGCTCGACGGCGCCAGCAGGAACAGGCGGAATAGGACCGAGTGCTGGAAAATACCTGGTTGCCCTTAAGCGAATATTTTTATATTTGCTGTTGTGGAAATCAACTTCAATGTCCTTATCCCAACCCGCTTCCTCGGCCTTTTTCTGTCTTGCGACCCGTTCTTCTTCTGTTTCCGGAGTTGGCCCTTTCGGCGCTGGGTCGGCCGGCTGGCTAAAAAGCTGGTCTATCTCGTGCTTGTTAAAGATAAGCTTGCTGGCGAGCCATTGATCGCAATCGACGTCCATGGCCCATAGGTTTGAAGAATTTGCCTCCTGCCTGAGTTTCCGTTCGGCTACCCAGGCGGCACGGAAGTACTGGTAGCGCATCCTCTGGCCCGGCGTATAGTCGTCGCGAAAGAGGTTCGGACCCTTGGGATCCTCGCGATCGTGGTCTTGCGGCTGCGTCTTGGCGTCGTGGAGATTGAAGACTACCTCGCAGTTGTCGAAGTCATCTTTGGATCGTAGCTTGTGGGTAGCGCTCGAGATGTACATATTCGGCATCTCCTTCGCTACGCCCAGCAGGAATTCGGGAGGGAGGGTAGAGTTAAAATGGATATGGAGATGCGCGGCCTTGGGCGCAGCGCTCGCCAGCTTGATCAGCTCGGTGCTGTTGATGACGTCGACATTCCGAGAGAAATGATCGAGCGCACGTTGCGGTGCGTCGTACTTCTTGCTATCGGCCTTCCGGCACAACTTCACGACGTCGGAAGCTTCCCTGTCATCCTGGCTGGCGTCCTTCGCTATCGCATTCTGGAAAGCGAGGGCAAGGGGCGCGCGGGATCTAGACGGGAGTCGGCGACTGGCAAGGAGCAGAGCCATGATTCTAGATATCCGACGGATGAGATGCAGCCTGGATTGCCTTCCCAATGAGCCGTTGGTATATTTCGTGTGCTGGTCGGCATTGCTGTCGTTATCCCGTCTCGTACTTATACCCATGAGCGCAAACAGACGCCGGCGCGTGATCCGGCCAGACAGGAAATCGAGGCTCCCGAGACAGCGAGCGATGTGGAAATATACCTTTTGAGGCCTAGACAATGGCAAGGGGGGGGCAGCTATTTCTCTATTCTGTCTCAGGATCGGGTTTGCTGAGAGGAGTGAGGTGAGAGAGAACACAATCGCAAGGCTTAGACAGTAGCGGGGGACAGTCATATCCGCACCTGGTACCTGCCTCCTAGGTACCTATGAGTAAATTGCTGACGCCGACTCACGCCGGCGCCTCAGCTGGGGCTGGGAACGGGCAGCTTCAATGGTACCTACCAGGTAGGTATTGTACCTACATTGGGAGATGCCTACCTCTGCCTAGGTACCTATAGACACCTACCCATGTAGGTTAGCTACCTACCTAGGTGTCTATGGAGGTAGGTACCTAGTTCCATACTTGAACAATACCTGACCTTAGACACGTCTATCTCTTGGGAGGCTAGGTAGGTGATAACTTGGGTGGGTAGGGTAACAGATTATCAGACATGAAGGCAGATTTGGAGGTAGCGTTACGTACCTAGACGTGTCCGTGCCCTCACACCCCCGCGGGCCACCCACCAGCCCACCCGCTAAAATGCTAGGCACAAGAGCTTTACTTAGGTACCCACTACGGCGAGCCACCGAGCTTACTGGCAGGTCCCCTGCTGAGGTGGCTGATCGCGACGACAAGAATAGTTAACATCCATCACTATAAGCTACCTGTATTGATATCTCAGGTAGCTAATACTAGAGCACACATTTTTGTCATATCTTGACAACTTACATCGTCCACGGATAATACCCATCCATCTGCCTGGGACAACGTCCGCTCTTACAGATTCCGATCCGAACCAACAAATGAGCATGGGTCGTTCACGGAACCTCTCCCACACTACCTTCACCTTCACCTCCCTACTGACTGCCCCCCCTGCCTGCCCACTAAGCGCGCGTTAATGTTCGCTGACTGCGCAGCGCGGAATGTATACAGACCCCATAGCCAGCAGGGCTACCAGCGCAAATCGACCTCAGGAGGATCTAGGACTTTGCCGACGCGCTGTCCCCCGACGAGTTGTTATGAATCACTAGGTAGGTACGAAATATGACCTGTGTTTGCCCCAGATCGTAATATTTGCTAACCTGACAGGGAACCTGTAAGTGGACCTGTCGTCGTTCTGGCGCCTGGGGCCTCTCCGGTGGGATTGAAGATCGTCCCAGCGGTCCTCCTGTCTGTTCCTTCGCTGCTTCAGGCCCGTGCTGCATCCTGCCTTGCCATGGCACTAATATCTAGGTACCTACGCCAATACCCCGCCAACTATTCGTGAAAACCTTCTTACTACCTATTACAATACCTCGAGATGGTCCGACTGGATTCCTTCGTACCCGTTTTCCTGCTCAATTGGCGCGCAGGGGGAGCGGTGGTTTGGCGCTATCGGGGTAGCAGAGTAGTCTGCCCTAGGAGGCCATGTATACTCTGGGCCCTGGGTATACCTAGTATAGGTATCTCGCTCGGCAGGGCCCTTCCGATGGCCCTTTAGGCGGCCTGGATGGCGCTATCCTCGTCCCCGCGAGGGGTCTCGGAGAAAGTCATCATGCGCAGGACGAGGCAGCCCAATCTTTTACTCTTCGGTTCTTCAAACCCGCACGATATCGCCGCCCTAGCAGCGCAATCCTCAAATTCGAAATACTACCTACCTTTTGGCCTGGTAGCGCGGAACTGCGCCTTGCTATTCTAATTAGGAACGAGTATGTGGATATATGGCCGACCTATCATTCTTAGCATCTATTATACGCTCCCCCCTGACTTACATCTCTTGCGGCATCTTTACTGTCTTGAAAGCTTTCGACTCTGATGCACTAGATGAGTCGATCTCTCGGATTTTTAAACTTGACAAGTGGCAGACTCGTACTGGTTCCGCGATAAGTATGAGTTGTCCTTTATTTGCTGTGGTCAGGAAGACGGGCGGCGCATCGCCTGTCGCCGTTCCCAGTCGTTCCAAGCCGTTACCTGGGACTCGAGAGCAAAGACTGGAGGGTAATATCCTCTGTCCACGGTAGCCTAAGGTTACTAAATACCACCAAGGTGGAGCAGTAATACGCCGGCATACCTAGACTAGCGAGCTTGCTCCCTCTACACGTAGCGAAGCCGACGCCAACGCTCCCTACAGAGTCGCACGTTGAACTTGTTTCCACCGCTGACGTCCGACTCGTCTAGATACACAAGCATCACGGTCGTCTGCGGTCAGCCTCAAGGAGCCACTACGCCGATAGCTCGTTTGCCATCAACCGGGGGGTTCCCATCTACCGAACCTCCACTAGTAACACAGGCATAACGACCCATATCCATATATCCACTTACATGACCTCATGGCAAAAAGAAAAAAATCCACTCCCTTGCCTTCTCGGAAGAAAGGAAATGGTTGACGGTTCCCATGTTAGGAATTTAAAAAGGGGTTGGCGTAGGTATCAGCATCTAAGCTAGGGCACCCCTCCACGAGCCACCCCTTTACGGACTACCGCGTTAGGACCTACGAACGCGTCTTTTAACGCGACGCCCTTACTTAAATAACCTATAATTTCTCGGTTAGTTTTAATCTTTAGTAATTCCTTTTATTATTAATCTCTTTTTGATTTTTTATTAATTAAGATAATATCTTTAAAGGAAACGTAAATCCGTACGGAAGCCGCTATTCGGGAGGTTATATGCGGTACTAATATCCGAAAAGCTACCCTTCGATATAGCGTCTTTCGTTCTTATTTAACGCGCCGTTTCGCTAGTAAACTAACGAAATAAGAGCTAAATAAGAATCGGTAGGCTTTATTACCGATCTTAGAAGCTAAATTAACTCGTTAGGCTATTTCGTAAGCTAGGTTAAGCTTCGCGTTAGCCTTTATTTAATTTAGGCTTATAGCCGACCGTTTATTAAACGCTAACGGCGGTTTTAAAAAGCTAAGGAAGTATTAATATTACCGTTTTTTAGATCGAAACCCGGAGGTTAAGGCCTTTAAGGCTAAGATCGTCGATTATAAGCGGATTAAGGGCACTACGGCGGTAAATATTAACCTCTTTTTCGACCGATTAGAAGCTTACGAATTATTAGCTATCCTTCCCGAGCGTTTCTTTAACGCCGACGAGATAGGTATCGTATAAAGCGTTACCGGTAATTATTAGGTAATTTTTAAAGCCGATACCTATATAGTACTTAAGAAAGGCGTCGAAAAAGGTTAATGAATTATTACTTTTAAGTATATAAGCTTCGGCGAAAAGCTTCTTTCTTCCTTAGTACTTTTTAAGGATATCGACGTTTAAACTTAGTAGTTTTTTAACGATTCTTACGATCTTTAAAAGGATTAATGGTTTTAGGCGTTACCTAGAGGATAAATTAATAATAATATCGCGTTAGATTAACTCGAAGGTATTTTTATTCCTTATATTTAGGTCCGTTTCGGTAATAAATAAGTCGTTTTAATTTACGACGGCTATAAATCGTATATTTACGACGCCTTTCTTACGCGTTATCTTTAAAATAAAATATAGCTCGTTTTTTATTAGCCTTATTATAATTACGTCGTATAGGTTTTAGATATCGGGATATTCGGGTTATTAAAAAAACGGCTTAAAAGCCTCCTTAGGAAGAGCTAAAGTACGAATCTAAACCTATACCTTATTAAGATCGATATATTAAAGGTATACCGATAGGCTAGGGTCGATATAATAACTTCTCGAATTATTAAAGGAGCTTAAAAGACCTTTAGGATTTATCTTAAAAACCGCGAGAAGCCGTTATCGTCGAGATTCGTAGTTATAAAGGATAAAGGTATTTCTAGATCTCGGCCGAGACGATCGGAAGTATCGGAAGCTATCGAAAGGCCGAAAATACCTAATTTCCTAACGTTATTAGCTTTAAAATACGTTAATATACCTTTAAACGGCTAAGTATTACGAAACGTTACTTAACGGTTTATTCTTATTAGTTCTAGGGCTAAAGTCGTATCGTAGCGGTTATTTATTCGGAAAACTAGCGATACCTTCGACCGGTAGGCTAATACGATCGCGATTCTTATAACCTAGCTTTAATATAAGACCGCTAAAAACGATAAGGCCATTACTAAGACGCGTAAGAAGGTATGCGTAACGCTAGGGGAGCGCTTCGTTCGTATAGCGGATATACGGTAGGTAAAAAGGTCGTTAAGAGGTAGGGTAGTATATAAGGACGAGGTAAGCGACGAGGAGGTACCTAGAAAGGCTAAAACGGCGCTAGGAACGCTTAAAAACGAGGTATCGTAAGCGGAGGACTATATCGAGGTTATAACGCCGGAATTAAAGGATTTTAATTAATTTTAGTAATATAAATAACTTTAATTATTAACGTAGTAGTTACTAGGTAATGCTTAATTTAAGTTGCTCGTAGAGGGGTAGCTCGTGGAGGGGTAGCCTAACTTACTAAGCTGCGCCGCAAGCTTCTACGTTTCTCTCCTAACCCGTTTCGTGGCAGACACACCGATTACTCCCCCAAACCGCTATCAGCACGTCCTCGTGCGGTCTCCAAGCTTGAAGGCATTCTAACTCGCTCGAGAAAAACAGCCTAATCCTGGGTTTCCAAGTGCTAAGCGCGTGGGTGAGGGCAGCGACCAAGGGACGATTGGGGGCGGTGCTGGGTGTCAACCACGAAGAGCCAGGGTCCTAGGCAAACCAACCAACTACTTAGGCAGTCCGGTCTATCTGACATGCCTGCATCCTTGTGACCCGGAACCTGACTACGCTGGCACGCGCCATCCCCCTCCGGTAGCACGGTTTGGGAAAGGAGGGACACGGGACAGCGCCGACAATCTCCCCCTCCGGCTTCGCCTCGCCGGGGTCGTGGGGGTAGACGCGGAAAGTGGTTACACGTCTCCAACTCTCTGCCTGGAGTGCTCTGTGTCGCCGGCGCGGTCCCTCCGGCGCCACGAGGCAGCCTTACCGCGTACAATTACGCCTCTCCGCTTCCCTTGACTAGTCGGCCCTCCCCCGGGACAGCCTAGGCGCTAGGCAATTGCTCAGTTGCGCTCACGAGAACAGGCCTACATTAGCTGCTTCTCTTAGCCTGCTCATCTGCCTAACCTCCAACCTCCCCTCCCCCCCTTACCACCCCTTCCCCACGTCCCGCTCTCGCTGCAGCAATATCTCCATCTCACCCATCTATGTCCCCAGGAGTCAGCCTCGCCTTCTCTAGCCTCACGACCGAGCTCTACCTATAGTCCCCCCTCCGCGCCTATACGACCCGCTCCCTCACTCGCTGGTTCGTTTGTCTCTCGCTGCCAATCCACTGCTCGTTTGCTTGCTCGCGCTCTCACCTCTGACCGACATCCGTACGAGCCTAATCCCCCCACACGCTGCCGTGTCGTATAGGACTCACCTCTCACCTCTCCTCCCCGTCTAGGCTAAGCTGACTAGTCCCGGCCTCGCCCACATCTAGCGTAAATGGTTTCTTTCTCTCTCTCTCGCGACCCCCCTCGTACTCGGTGCCCTCAGAAGTCACCCGCCCCAGTTGCGGGCGGACAAGTATGCGTGATCTAGGTACGAGGTATCCGCGTGCTGTCGCTGCGGTGTGCGCACGTGCAAGCAACAGTGGGGGAGGATGGAACGAGATGCTTACTCTGCAGGATGAAATTGCAATACCCCCCCGTAATCGCTGTTTCTTACTACGGATGACTTGTCTGCATATAGTAATTCCACTTCGAAGAGTTTTATTTTGGTATTAAAAAAAAAGACAAATGTTTATTCCTGTTCTCACACGTCAAGTCGTACATGATGCCTTCCGGAATCTTCTCCCGTTGCTCCTGAGAGACAAGAAGTTGCCCTGCACCACACCACGCACCGTGCCGCCGGATGTGTGTGAATCTCCGCAGCCGTAACGGCTCAGCCTCTAACCGTAACAAGCCCCCTTCCCCCCTTCCCATGTCTGCGGATTTGAGTTGATGTGGTAATATCCAACCAGCACATCTTCCACCGTTATCTCCTCCTGCCTTTACTATGGATCGATTAATAGGGTTGCTGGACTTCCCAGGGAGGGCTGCGCCGTCCGCCTAAAACAAGAGTGGGTAGATGAAAATTTGGATGGTGAATCGCGGTGAATGACATTCGAAGTCTAGTGGAAATGTATGTGCGTCGGGTAGGGAATCCACCACTCCCTAGGCGCTCCCAAAGGTTCGGCGGGGTGTGGGGACTTGGACTGTGACGGTGTCCTACTCGAGCCCACGCGCGCTCTGCTTTCCGAGGCAGAATGCGATGCCGCCGCCTCCGAAGGGGTAAACGTTCGAGACTGCTAATCGTCGAACTTGATGCTCCGGGTCTGGTTGATGTCCAGGGGGCCGCCCTTGTAACTGCCCCGCTTCTTCTTGTTTTTCTCCTTGGTGAAGCCCTTGCCCTTGGTGACGACGAGGTCCTGGTGGGCTTTCTCGCCGTAGCCGTGGGCCACGTAGGCGTTGGAAGAAAGCCTCGGGTCGACCACCACGTCCTTGGGGATTCGGGAGAAGGGCTGGTTCTGCCCTTTCACGCCATTCTTTCCCCGATTGTTCGCCTTGAAGGTGAGCGGGTCAGGCGGGAGAGGGGGGAGCGTGTTGTCAGGAGAGGTCTTGTCTAGGGTGGCAGAGGTGGTGTCTGATTCTGCACGACGGGCCACGTTAGCGTTGACAGATATCCGCGGTCTTTCATATTCTGACTCCAAGTCGCTGGAAGAAGAGGACTCGGGCAGTGGGACTTGGGCAGCCACCTTCAGGTCCACCTTGGACTCTGCCTTGGATTCAGATCCCGACTCGGACGAATCGGAATCAGACTCCGAACCCGAAGACGAGTCGTCACTCTTGGTGTCAGACTTGTCTTCAGCTTCATCCTCGTCAGAGGAGCTCTCGTCGTCGGAGGAGGAGGAATCAGAAGCCTCGGATGAAGAAGAACCCTCGTCAGAGACGCTCTTGATTTTTGCTTTTTTGGCCTGAGGTCGTTCGTCCTCCGAGCTTGAGTCCGACATGTCCTCTTCTGAGCTCGATTCAGATGATGCGTCGTCGCTATCGGACTGTGCCTTTCTCTTTAACGAGTTCGTGGCCGGACGTGCTCGCGGCTTCTTCCCCTCGTCACTTTCGCTGTCGCTCGAACTTTCCGAAGACGACGACTCTTCGCTGGACCCATCAGCAGCCGGGGCATCATCCATGGCGACATCATCGGCATCGCTGTCGCTTTCACTCTCTGAACTCGAATCCTCGCTGCTATCGCTTTCACTGCTGTCACTGCTGCTACTGCTGATTTTGGTGATCTTGGCCATGGGGTCATCGGTGGCGGAGACGGGCGTGCTGCCTTGGCTGGCAAAAGTCTTCCACGTCTGGAATACGCTGACCAGGGAATGGTGGGTCTTGCCCTTGTTCTTGTCCTTCTCGTGGTCCTGTTCCTTCCAGCCCTTCCTCGCTCTGTGCTTCTGAAATTCGCGATGGGCGTTATCGAATCCCTGGTCGGAGAGGAACGACTCGACTAGGTCCATGAGCTGGGTAGGAGGGGCCGAGCTCTTAGTGTGGCTGGTAGAGGCCGATGTCGAAGCGGCGGCAGCTTTGGGTGCAGCTTTCGGCTTCGCCGCCTTCCGGGCTTTCTCGTCCGTCTTCTTCATCGTGGCTGGTTCACGGCTGGCCGACGGCGCGTGCGAAGAGTTGATAGAGTTGTGGGAAAATAACCAAGCTGGGGGGCGTTGGGAGGAATTGCTGGACATAATAACCCAACCTCGCCAACCTCAGGTAGGGGTCGATTGGATGGTGGCTTACGTGCCAATGGGGAGGCGTCGTAATCAGAAGACGGGCGAGTCTCTGGCCTCGCCAGAGGGGATTCGCGGGTTGGTTCTCGATGGGCTGGTTGGTAAAGCAGGTGGACAGATAGGTGAGACCGGAGGCACACCGAAGAGGGGAAGAAAAAATATTTGTGGATCGCGCCAGATAGCCAGACCCTGAACGCATCCTGCTTATCGATAAGAATTGGAGGTGTACCTAGAATCAACAGAACAAGCGTGACCAACCAACGCCTTAAGCAACCCGCTCTCCGCCATCTTCTTGTTCTCTTTTCTTTTCGAAAAAAAAGTTCAATCTGCTTTCCGCAGCGGCCTGTACTGAAAGCTGTCTTGGCCGGCTTAGTAACTCGCCGATTAGGTAGGCGAGCAGGCGTTCAGTGAAGCCACTTAGGCACATACAACATGGTGCAGTTTAGACCAGGAACACACCGTTGCTTTGTCGTGATGCGTAACCCACTAAGCATGAAAACACACAGACCTGCCTGTACACATTCATATCCATTTATCTTCCCAAGGTATCCGGTTAGTTGCACGAAAGACTTGCGCGACTATGTCTCGATTTGGAACTTCAGATAGGTATTACGAGGTAGGTAGGTAGGTTATCTCTAGCTTCTTATACCTACCTACTTCTACTCATAAGCCATTTGTCGTTCACATACACTCGGGTAACACTTTGGTATAGGTACCCAGGTTTGTTAGCTCTAATCAATCTCTCTCTAGGATGTCTACCGAGCTCCGTATGCATGCCGGGGATAGAGCCAAGGATTCATGCACCAGTTCTTGCAACCATGCGTATAGTAGGCATGTACCTCTAAGCAGCTGGAATGGAAAATGATACCATGGCGGACCCGCAACTCGCTTTTCGTTAACGGCGCGAGGCCGGCCTCAAACTACCTCCTATTAATCAGCACTTCTCGTACTTATACACCCGTACACATACAGCGTACATACCTGTGTAGAGGAGGATTCTGCAGCTGGCCCTCCGCGTGGATCACTCACTTGCGTCCTGGCTCTCCATTTCCGTCCCGTCTACCTGGTCGTCTGAAGGCCCCTCTCTCTCCTCGTTTCCGAAGACGCCAAGACTCTCGGAGTATCGCCCTTCCAGCCTCTGCTACGCTAGAATTTTCGCGTCAGACACAATGTCTACATTCGAGCAGGCCATAAGATTCACCACCGACTCCGGTAGGGACCAACCCTTTTATCCTTTTCCTTTCCCTTTCCCTCTCCGTGGCATAGGATAAGCATTAGGTACGGATCGGGCAAGAACTTCTACCTACCATTCTCTACTTGCCATGTTAGTTATACCTGCAGGATCCCGGTTTCGTAGATGGCTCTGCGGAGAGCAAATTTACCACCGAGTGAAGCCTCAGCTCGCATCGGTGTGTGCTGAAAAGGACAGCGCTTCGGTTGGGGGAGCGTGGCTCAGTCAGCGCCACAATGAGCCCCTGGCTAGGGAGATTCTCTCGTGGCAGAGCGAGCGTCGGGTTGTGGGATGGGATGATGCCAGAATGTCAAGGGAAAACGTGGACGCCCACACTTTCCTATGCGGCATACACGGAACATGATCGAGAGCCACACGTCTCATCTCGATCACTTTCCTACCCGGCGTAGAGCGATAGGATGACGATGTCACCACCAATGAACGAGCCCGTGCCGATTTCGGCCTCCTCCCCCCGTCACCCCTTCCTCTCCACCGTCCTTCCCACGATCCTAGCTCGCTAACCCGTCGCGCAGCGGGGATGGAGCGGAGCCTGCGCCTGGTGCAAGCCGCGGTGCAGATCCTGTCGAGCTTCGCGCTGCCGTTCGACCTGCTGCTAGTCGCGCTCGGGGCCGCGGCCGGGCCGGCGCCCGCCGCCCCCGCCGTGCGCGGCGTCCTCGCCGCGCTGAACCAGCGCCTCGGGCTTGCGCGCCGCTACTTCCGGCTGTTCCGGTTCCTCGAGGCGTTCGACGGCGCGCAGAAGGCTCTCGCGCAGCTCACTGCGCCGTCCTCGCCCGCCGACGTCGCCTGGCTCGACGTCCTCGCCCGCACCTTCAACGGCATGTACCTCCTGCTCGAGGCCTCCACCGTCGTCGACGCCCTGCAGGTACCCGGGCTCGCACTGTGGGGGCCCGAGCGCGAGCGCCGCGTCACCGTCGAGGCCCAGCGCTTTTGGCTGCTTGCCCTCGCGTGCGGCGGGCTCGCCGCCCTCGCCCGCATCCCCGCCGCCCTCGCCCTCGCCGCCGTCCCCGCGACCCCCGCTGGCCTCGCCCCGCTCGCTGACGCGCCGACGGGCGAGAAGGACGGGGAGAAGGAGAAGGAGAAGGAGACGGCTGAAAGCAAAGAGGCGCTGCGCCGCCGGGAGCGGCCCAACGTCCGCGCAAAGGTGCACAAACTCGGCCGCACCGCCCTCGCTAGCGCCATCGACATCGTGCTCCCCGGAAGCGTCATTGGCTGGATCTCTGCCGATCCCGGCACCGTTGCCGTCGCCATGTTCGTGACTTCGATCCTGACGGGCATGGATGTTTGGGAGAGGTGCGGCCGCGAGGTTGCGGCAGGTAAATAGGGAGGTGGGCCGGGTGCCTCTCTCTTTCCTCCCTGATCTCTCTGTCCCTCCCTATCCAGATAGGAGTCGGTCGCATGGGTATACTAGCTGGGGAATAGACAGGGTGGCTAGATGGCAATTCACCTCCAAGGGAAACATCCGAACTGTTCCAACTTTCAGATACGGCCATACCCATCATTGATGGTTTACATTCAGCCTGTAGGCGTGTGGAGTGCGAGGTATAAGAGACGCCGGAACGTAGACACTATTACACTTTGGAGACCATAAAGTCAAGGTAGAAGCTGGAATCATTGTGAAGGGCCTTGTATTCAGCACTGTGGTCGGATGGCAAGGGTATGTACAAGGTAAAGAAGGAATTGTAGAGTACAGTGCCGGCGAGCCCCTAGTCCCCAGGGTTACGGCATCGCTCCGTGTGTAATCGGCGACACCCTCACATCTATTGCCCGGGGGAGACAAGCTTGCCCTCTGCTCGGGAATTCGGGCTCCATCCTCCGGCCAGGGCCTTAGCGCCGCCATTCGCCGCCGCATACTTCTGCATCCTAGCTTCCAGCTCGGGTCTGAAATGGCGGATGAGGCCCTGAATGGGCCAGGCGAACGCTTCGCCAAGAGCTGACGGGAAATCAGTATGTAGGACTTTGTAATGTATGATTAAGCCATCGACTCACCGCAGATAGTGTGCCCTTCCACCTGTTTTGTGAGCTCTTGCAGCATGTCTATCTCACGCTCACGGCCAATTCCCTTCTCAAATCGGCTCATTATTTGCTCGGTCCACTTGCTGCCCTCCCGGCATGGCGTGCATTGCCCGCAAGACTCGTGGCGATAGAAGTGGCTTAATCGAGCGATCGCTCGCACGACGTCCGCCGACTTGTCTAATACGATAACAGCTGCAGTACCGAGACCCGATTGGCTGTCTTTGAGCGCGTCGAAGTCCATGAGTTGGTCGTCGCAGACGTGCTTAGGGAGGATGGGAGTAGAGGAACCACCCGGGATGATGGCGAGCAGGTTCTCCCAGCCCCCCTTGACACCGCCGCAGTGCTTCTCGATAAGCTCCCGCAGGGGTATGCTCATCTCCTCCTCTACCGTGGCCGGGTTATTTACGTTGCCGGAAATACAGAAAAGCTTAGTTCCCTGGTTGCGTTCCCTGCCGAAGGAGGCGAACCATCTGCTGCCTCTTCTGCAGATCGTCGGCGCTACCGCAACGGTTTCGACGTTGGCGACGGTAGACGGGCAACCGAAGACACCTACAGCAGCCGGGAACGGCGGCTTTAAACGCGGTTTGCCGGGCTTGCCTTCGAGAGACTCGATCAACGACGTCTCTTCGCCGCAGACGTACGCACCAGCTCCGCGGTGTATGAAGACGTCGAAATCGTAGCCGGAGCCGCAGGCATTCTTTCCGATCAATCCGTCGGCGTACGCTTCGTTGATAGCCTTCTGTAGGACGTAGGCTTCGTAGATGAACTCGCCGCGGATATAAATATAGGCAGCGGTAGCATTCATGGCTCGGCCGGCGACTAAGCATCCTTCGACAAGCTTATGAGGGTCCTTTCGCATGATTTCTCGGTCCTTGCAGGTTCCGGGCTCGCCTTCGTCGGCATTGACGATGAGATACCTCGGTTTTGTGTCCTTTTCCCACCCTTTGAAGTTCATGAACGACTACATCACCGGCGTTAGCGGTGGCTTCTCGCAAAAACCCAGCGTTTCTTCTTTCTTTTTGGTTTCTCTTTTGACGTACCCATTTCATGCCGGAGGGGAAGCCGGCCCCCCCTCTTCCGCGCAGACCCGATGCCTTGACCTCGTCGATGATCCAATCGTGGCCTTTAAGGATGATCTCCTTCGTCTTGTGCCAATCCCCCATCTTCTTCGCAGACTTGAGATCCGGGGGGAAGCGGCCGTATAAGTTTTGGAATATTCGATCTTGGTCCTTAAGGCCGCCATAGGTTCGTTTCGGGGCGCCTTCTTGGACCGTCGCGAAATTTCGGCTCTGGTGGGATGCGGGCGTCTGGGGGAGTCTGGAGCAGGCCGGTAGGGCTGCGCGTGAGAGAGCCTTCGCCGAGGCCGTCGACGACGCAGTGGTCCTTGACAGCATGTTGAAGGTGGTTAAGCGCTCAATCGAGCATACGAGAGTGGAGAGTGCAGGTGGCGGCAACGGCGTAAGTTTTGTTCAGGTTCAAGGCCCCCTGGGACGATGAGGCCTTTGATTGAATGGAAATGACCGTATCATGATTGGACCAGCCAAATCTGGGACTGTGGCGATCGGAGTTATCAGCCACTCGCGACCGCATCGCGGAGCTCTGGGTTGTGGCTTAGCGATCATTGACATCACCCGAAAGTTGTGGCGCGACAGTTGACTTGACGCTATGTAACAGTCAAGTGCTTTATGCGTTTATGAAATCTCCACCTACTAGGTACCTACCCACGTCAATACCACTTCTCCTTTCTGGCGTCAATCCTCAAAGCTCTTTGTCCATCTTTCCACCCTTCCATCGGGCTACTAGCAATAGGTCGCACGATCTCGAGTCTACAGACACGCTTATGTCCTCACATAACTAACTTCGAGACGTGCGTGCAGCCAAAAATGTCATCCTCGAAACGCCAGTCCATTGTCCCGCGCGTCCATTCAGGTCCCAAAGCGCCAGTTAACTTTTCGTCCTCTATCATCATAGCGGACTCGGCGCTTCTGGCAGGGAACCACACTATAAACATCAGCTCTGAGTCTGTCGTACATCCCCGAGCAAAGCTTGACTCTTCTAACGGGAGGATCACGATTGGCCGGAGATGTATTATTCACGAACGAACCAGCATCGGAGCGTCGTCTGCTGATCCTGTTCCGAGCGAATCGCGCGACGGCGTCTTCATCAGCGACTATGTCACGGTCGAAGTCGGCGCGATACTCGAATCTGGCGGCACGATGATTGGCGAAGGGACATCGATTGGTGTGGGTTGCAAGGTTGGTAAAGGAGCGAAGCTGGGCAAGGTGGGTTTTGCATCCCTACCGCGATGTCGCTCGGCTATTAATCGTGGAAAAGCATTGCACCTTGACGCCGAAGTCTGTTGTACAACCGAGAGAGATAATACCGGACTTCACGGTCATCTACTCCAACGGCATAAGACGAACCGACAAACGTGGAATTACGGACCTGAAGAATAAGGCGCAAGCCCGACAGATCGAGGTGCTACGAAAGCTCATACCTAGCAACCCCTCCAAGTTCCAATGATACGACGCTCCCGGGGAAGACCGCTGCTGCATTTCTTCTTCTTGCTTTGCTTCTTCACATTGATACCCCAGCTAGTGGCTTTTGTCAACTTGATGCCAACTTCACTGTTTTTCTATCTGCAGCCGTAGCAGGATTTTTGGCGAATTCTATCCAAACAGGTGGCTGGCTAATCGCACCAGACCATGATAGCTGCTCTCCTCTGCGCCCTGGTGTCGTAGAGGATAGGTACCTACATGTTGTCATATTTAGGTATGACTGACATCGATGTGACAACCAGTTTCGTTTCTCTGTCAGTATGTCCTAAATAGGTCGCATTAACCTCACATTCGACACCAGTAGTAGAAATTCCGCACCAAGCCCTGCGTAGAACAAGCACAAAGGGGAGGTGATGCTAAAGGTAAAGACTAGCTATGGCGCGTTACCACGCGACGATTCGGCGCGCCTATTGAACGGTTAAAACTCGGGCTATTACGCAATCTCCCCTGCTTAGGGCTTTTCTGTCATAAGTACCCAGGTACCCAGACAAAGTCTTCGGGTTTTTCCCCTCCGCGCTCTGCCGAAACTCACCGCTCTCGATATCCCACATTTCCCATTAATTTCTATTTTCTCGTCGTGGAATTTCCTCGTCTCCGAATAACCTACCCGAGTACGTCGACCACCACATAACCACGCGCAACAGCCATCATGCCTCCCAAGAAAGCCCCCCGCGTTCAGGAGAACATCTCCCTGGGTCCCCAGGCGAGAGACGGTAAATTTGACCCCGTCTACGCGATCCCGTCCCGTCGCCTAACTGTGTCTAGGCGAGCTCGTTTTCGGCGTCGCCCGCATTTTCGCCAGCTTTAACGACACTTTCGTCCACGTTACCGATCTCAGTGGACGAGAAACTCTCTGCCGTGTCACTGGCGGCATGAAGGTGAAGGCCGACCGCGACGAGTCGTCTCCTTACGCTGCCATGTTGGCTGCCCAGGACGTTGCTGCCCGCTGCAAGGAACTGGGCATCAACAGCTTGCACATCAAGATCCGCGCCACGGTAATATGGGATCGCTTCCCAGGTCGATATGTCTTTCTGCTAACGAGGTTATGCTAGGGCGGTAACGGCACCAAAACCCCCGGCCCCGGTGCGCAGTCTGCGCTTCGCGCCCTCGCCCGTTCCGGCATGAAGATCGGCCGCATCGAGGACGTTACCCCTACTCCTTCGGATAGCACCCGCAGGAAGGGCGGTCGCCGCGGTCGCCGCCTGTGAGCATATTATCACCATTACCTGGTACCTCTGTGTGTGAAGGCATTGGGCATGGGAAACAGTACGAGGAGAACGGCTTTTTTTGCCTGGTCTCCATCCCTAGGTAGTCAATACCAGGAATATTGGCGTGGTGGTCTGCCACGACCATGAAGTCACCTATGGATACCGATTCTTGCATGCCTGCGCGGCGATGTTTGTCGCACATAAAGAATTCATCCAGTCTGTATGCCCTGTCCTGCTTCACAAACACCTGGGGTTTCGTCGCAAACCACGAAGACAAATAGACTTTGCTCAATGCATCTGTGTCTCGTGTCAGTATGGGTGGCTACCGGGACCTTTGACAAACGGACATCGACGCATGATGAAGTTCTACCTGATATGCCTAGTAGAGAAGAAACATCCCCCTGTGGCTAGTAAGAGTCGCGTTTATAAGCCGAGGAACATTGCTAGAGGAGACGACGACGCCCATTCGTGCTACTTGCGAATGCCATCCGTAACTGCGGGTATCTTTGAGCTGCTGTGAATTTTCAACTTGGAGAGCCCGGTGGCGTTGGTGGATATGCTGGCCTTACACATGCCGAACCAACTAGTGACACGTAGGCGGTCAGACTTGCTATCGGATGCGCGTACAGATGAATTGACTATAGTAAGCCCGGGAATACGATACTATCGTCAACGGTAGGGACTTTGGAGCGAGCTTTTGTCTTAGCCACGATCCATGACCCTATCACAGGAGTTAGCTATGACCCTGTTTTATTGGAAGGGCGCTGGCAACCCTACCTTCGTCTCGTGTATGCGAATCAGTGTTTTCCCGAAAGATGATGGTTGAAAGGAACTGGAGTGACACCAACCTTGGAGATGGGCTGTTGGGTATATTCGAAATGGGAGGAGGGGATTGGCGCAAAGCATGGGTTCGAGCTTCGATCGACCCTATACTAAAATACATGTACTTATTATATTCTCTTACCGCCGTAGCCTCGCACCAGCATCACTGCTCAGTTGGCTTAGCGACATCATCCGGCTGGGCAGCTCTTCTCACGCCGAAGAAGTAGTTGCCCACCTTCTCGCTCCCGCTCACCTCCTTCCAGCCGAGGCCCGGGACGTAAACGACGCCCAGGCATCTCGACTCTGACCAGCCGGCCCTTTCCCGCAGGAAGTACTCCCTGAGCTCCCCTTCGTTGATGTACTTGTTCCAGTCGTGCGTACCTTTTGGCACGATGCGGAGCAGGTCCTCGGCCACGAGATTGGTGGTGAACCAGCTCATCCAGGTCCGCGCGATGGTGCTGAGCACCAGCCACCCGCCCGGTTTTACGAAGGGCGCGCACAGGTCCAGGAACTGGGACGGGTTCGACACGTGTTCGATGACTTCGAAGATCGACACGACGTCGTACCCGTCCTGAGGGGTGTCTGGGGCCGGAAACTGCTCGATAGACGTATTCAGGTAGGTCAGCTTTGACCGGAGCGCAGGGTCCCGCCGCGCGTGCGCCTTAGCAACGGCCAGCACCTCGGAGCTAGGGTCGATAGCTGTCACCGAGGCCGTGGTAGATAACCGGGCGGCAGATTCGGCGAAGATTCCTCCACCGCACCCTATGTCGAGATACTTGAGCGCCGCGGAGGTTGTGGGAAGGGGGTAGTCAAGGGCGGAGGCACGACACGAGCGAATGAAGTCATGGCGCAGCGGGTTCATAAGGTGGAGGATGCGAGACGGTCCTCGGGGGTCCCACCAGGAGGATGCGAGAGCATTGAAGTGGGATACCTCATCGGGGGAGACAGTCGTAAACGTAGAATCAGTAGAGCTACCAGGCTCGGGGTCGGGAGGGGCGGATAAAGCCAAAGCTCCTGAAGCCGAGAAATGCCGGCTTGGATACTGTCCCGTTCGATGTACAGGTCGCAAACTGGTATACGACGCATTGCGCCACCGACGGCAGAGAGCGGCTATACCCTGCCGCGATGTCATGATGGATTAGATGGCCCGACCAGTCCCCGTATGCGGGTCCCGCTGCTATATATTGTCTCCCAGCCGAGAAGCAGGGCGAATTGAGACGACCGCGACAGTCTGCTGCGAAGGGGTTTCGCTGGACGAAGCAGAAGATGTTCGCATGGGAAATTCCGAAATTCGGGGATTGGGTTAGAGCTGCTTGATAAGATACGCGATAAGAGATAAGGCGCCACGGCACAGGGCAATTGACCACTCGGAAGCGTGTGTTGGGCGGGTGACGTAACAACCCCTGGGACTCCGAGTTGGCAAAGCCCAGCAGGCTGGCTCCGGGGGTACTTTGGTAGAGGTGTCTCTCCATACCGGCCGCCGCGGAAAGTACCGTGGCATCCCCTCACCGACGGTACCGCCTAGGCCCCGCCAACTGCCCTGCCACGGCGCGATGGCGGCTGTCCTCGCGCCATCCTCGTGGGTCGTCGCCATGTCTTCTCAGTCAGCATTTGCAAGACATCTCGACCTCAACAGCTAGGGTGAGTCATTAATTGCTGGTCCTCCTCGAACAGTATTCTTCGCTTTCCTCCTATCCCTGCTTTGGATCCATCTCCCTCTCGTCCCGTCCAAGCGCATATAACACTGCACGCACCCTACGACTTGCCTGCTGTAGGTACCTCGGCGCCTCGGCCTTCCACGCTTAAACCAGAGAGAGGCGAATCTATACATCGCAATCTTACCCCTTGTAGCGCAACCCTCCTGCTTACCCGGTAGCTCAACGTTTTATCCTCGAGCCTGCGACCTTTGAATCGGGGGACGCGGGGGCCCTGCACAGCGGCCTCATCCCGTATACCTGCCGTTCTCGCCCAGCATGTCCTCCACGCTCATCGACGCCGCGCAGTTTGACTCGATACCCGATACCATCGCAGCCTTTCGTACGTGTCCTCTCGTCCCGAGGCCCCCGGGAGACCCGCCCGCCGGGGCCCTCCCAACCACTGCGCAGCCGACTAACGGGCCACCCCCCTTCCTTCCACGCACTTAGGCAATGACGAGTTCATAGTCGTCCTCGACGACCCGAGCCGCGAGAATGAGGCGGACCTGATCATCGCCGCCGAGAACGTGACGACGGAGCAGATGGCGTTCATGGTGCGGTACTCGTCGGGGCTGATCTGCGTGCCGCTGACCGCGTCGCGGGCGTCGACGCTCGCGCTGCCGCCCATGGTCGAGCGCAGCGAGGACCCGCGCGGCACGGCGTACACGGTGTCGGTGGACGCGGCGGACGCGTCGGTGACGACGGGGATCAGCGCGCACGACCGCGCGCTGGCGGCGCGGCGGCTCGCCGAGGCGGGCGCGACCGCGGCGAGCTTCCGGCGGCCGGGCCACGTGTTCCCGCTGCGGGCGCGGGCGGGCGGCGTGCGCGTCCGCCCCGGCCACACCGAGGCCGGCGTCGACTTCTGCCGCCTCGCCGGCAAGCCCGAGGTCGCCGTCATCTGCGAGCTCGTCGACGACGGCCGCGAGGTCGCCGGCTCCGCCCTGCGCGAGGGCGCCGGCATGATGCGCGGCGAGGGCTGCGTCGCCTTCGCGCGCCGCTGGGGCCTCAAAGTCTGCACGATCGCCGACCTCGTCGCCTACCTCGAGAAGACGGAGGGCAAGATCGAGGCCAACGGGAGCGCGTGACGGCGAGGCGGGACTCGTTCTGCTGCTCGTGTTCGGAGTGTTGGAAACCCGATGTCTCGGACGTCCTAGATTCCGTTTCACAGCGGGTACGGCACTGTGGGCGTAAGCAGTGCAGGAGACGAGAGAATGTAACTAACGGCTGTAAGGGGGTTTTATTACTACTAGAATATGGCTTCTTGGCTCAATGGACTGGTACATGGAAAATAAGGGTAGGCCACCGGCATTTACATCTCCATTTATATTACATGCATCACCTATCTACATACTACCCCATAAGTCTGACATCCCGGCTCGAGACGCCTATCTTCGTCTAGTAGTCATGATCAGACTTTATGGCGAGCTCCTGTGCCGGGTTGTGCCGGTGCATGCAGAATGCTAATATATCCACCGACTCGTATTTACTCACACTAATCAACCGTAAGCCTTTCGGACGACTGAAGATTATAGACGCCACACATAATCAGGTCCTATCTATGACCACAAAGGCGATCGTAATACCTACTGACGGTCTGACGAGCGTAGTTGTTGCCCCGGGGTGTTAGATGTGGCAAGGAGGGATTCGTAATTATTTATGCGAGCCGGTCAATAGAGCTTCTTATCAGCTCACTCACACCGACCCTTTATATTCTCCACGAGTTGGAATCGAGGATCTGCCTCCCCCCATCGGGACTTGGGGTTGGCTCGGACGCGGGTTGGCGCACCGATTTACCTTCGCTGCAGGCGGATATGCGGAGGGTTCCCGCGTGTAACCGGCAGAGGCACCCATCCGTGGAGATAAGTGCGCCGTGAGACGCGTTCGAAGGTATCCAGGAGCGAGGTAGTACCAAGGCGGGACACGAGACGGTGGCGTCGGTGGCGGCGTCGGTGCTCCTGCGCATCTCATCGGACCCGGCCGTCGCGCGCGCGTTCGACGTCGAGGTCGTGAGCGCGCCGCCGCCCCAGCGCGCAACGAGATTCTCCTCCATCGCCATCGCTACCGGCGTGAAGGTGAGGTTCCGAGCCGCGGGGGGGTCGCCTTGACCGGCTCGGCCCATCGACTGGGTGCTGTTGATGTGGAAGGGGAGGGCGCGGAATACGGAGGCTTGAAGGTGGCTAGGAAGGTTGGCAGATCGGAGCGGACTGCGTTGGAGCAATGCTGAAGTTTGGACCTTTCTGTTCTAGTACCCAATACATGCCACCCCCCATTTACCGCAATAGGTTACCTGTCCACTGCCTTGCCCGCCAGCCCGACTGCCCCTGGGTTAAGACGTGCGACCGTCATTATATATCCTAGTACATATATATCCGTTCCTGGCTTGGCCAATGTCGATGTGACAAAATCCAGCTCCATATACGGTGTTTGTGTTCGATTCCGAGTGCCCACCTCAGAGACTGTACGCAAGTTGTTCTTGTGCCGACATCTTCCTAGCATCAATTATAGAAACGTAATATTACAAAAACTAAGCCTCGGATGAAAGCCGAACTCGTACATATTTCCGACTATCCAGTCTAGAGGGAACTGTGTAATACTCCTATAGGTACCACCGTAGCCGTGCTGTTCTACTGCTGCATGACCTGCTCTTCCCACGTAGCCTGCCGTCGAAGTTCCCGGTCTTCGTACAGTTCACGCTCTGCTTGGGGTAGACTATCGATTTGGCTTTGGTTTGTTAACCTCCTCTCCAATTCCTCATTTAAGATGTGTTCCGGTATTGGGCTGTCGTCCTCTGGTACCGCAGCGTGCCTGGAACCTAGCGAAAGGGGTCAGTATCTGGGGGTTCGTATAGCCGTTTGGGCACTTACTGGAGCCGATGTGGAGCATCGCCTTCAACTTGGTCTTCTTGCCTTTTAGCTTGGCTTTCAGCTTGGCTTTCAGCTCGTCTTTCTTGGTTTTAAACTTGTATCTCAGCGTCTCGTCCACGTTTCTAACAATGAGAACGTTCCGTCTAGAAACCCTGTCCTTTCCTAGTGCCTGTATCGCCCACTGTTCAATGGTACGCCGTTCGCCTGCGATGGGACTGATCCGTATCTGGCGTTCAAGGCCGATACGAAAGCCTCTCCTCCAAGTGCAGCTTCCCGGACTGAGTATCGAACCTGAACCCAGACTCGACTGGGTGTATTTATGTCGTCCATTGACAACAGCTGTTATTCGATCTCTACTGATAGTACTATCCCCGGTAGTATTCAACAATAGAAAACGAGCGACGGCCGCGAATGTAGGATTGCCAGTCATATCAATGCCCCCTTCACCTTTCAATGAGAGGAGGACTCCCACGACGGCAATTTCCATATTAAATCGTAGTCCTCCAAGGGCATAACTCCTGGTTAAGAACTGCCAGAGGCTAGTGAAGTATTGGTGATCCATAAACGACCTCAATGAGGGTCCTTGAGTAGTAGCGAAGGCCTCTGGCCTAGTAATAACATCCACACAGGAGCCAACATCGAAGAAGTCTAGGGACGGCTCATTGTTGATTAGAGAAGGTAACTGAAGTCCTGGGATCACTCTGAATCGTTTCTCCGGGAAATATTCGAACAAGGAAGACGTCGTAGGAGGGTTGGGCGAGACTGACTTGGCCACCGTCTCCGGTTGCCACGCATGCCCACGCCACGCCCCCTTGATGCCCCCCTGGTTAGTTTTCATCTGATCTAGTAATCCCGGAGCAACACATTTTGTACTATGTGGCTCGCCTATTAGTGACACGACATCGTTCGGTCTTTTCTCGATTCACTCACAGGCTGTGCAATCTTGAGAGAGACATCCCGATTACCAGGGGCCTAAGTAGACGCCTTTTCGGATTGAATGCGATAGCCATGGGTGTGCTAGCCAAATAATCTGAACTATACGTCAATACCCACGTATAGTGTTTCTAATTGGACAGGAATAGCGGTGTCGGAATAGGAGCAGGGGTGGAGGGAGAGTATGAAATATCTGTCAAGGGGTGTTTTTTTTTTTGGCGCCGAGTTGCAGAACTGTGGACATTACGTATCATGAGTCTAAATAGCCACGGCCCTACCCATATAATCTAGTTGAAGTATTGACGACGGGCCATTCCTCAGGTCAGCTGGCCAGGTGTGTAAGCATCGGAACCCAACCTGGCATTGAGCCTCATAATTTGGGCGCAACTTCGCCAAGACGTGACGATCCCTCAGCCGACATGACGGACCCCAGTGGATGCAACAGCCCCAGTAGACGTGTCATCGCCGGTATGGTATGACCGCGAGGCTTTCACTCAAACGGAAATTTCAAATCCTATGATAAGGCCCATCACTCGTCCTCTCGAGTTTCCCCGTCCTATCATGTTTGAAGTCTAGCTACGGACGTCGCGAGAATCGGCTATTTCTGGCTGTTCAGCTTAACCGAAGGTATAGCCTGCTCTCCTCCCATCCTTCATTGAGCCACAGAGACGGTAAATTGGAGGGCACGTTGCATAGATAAGCGACCGATGGATCATCTAGACCCCCAAGGGTTCGAAAAATTGGCAGAATGGACGGCGAGCATTCCTGATTACGAAGCTTACATCTTCCGGAGATTCGATCGCCTGAGTGCCCGGAATCTGCAGTTCCTAGAGAGCGAGCTGGCCACTCTCGAAGAGGAGTTGCAAGACGAGGATCAGGATGCCCGGAAACATGCCGGCAAAGCGGCAGATGCGGTCACCCTGCGGAACTGGACAAAATTCGAGGAGCTAGCTGCAAGAGAGGGCACCAAAGAGTCGAGGCGCATGAAACTCGGCCGGGAAATCAACGAGAAGCTGAAGAACTACTGTGAGTTGGTTTCATTGGTTGCCCATGATGACGACTAGTAGCAATCAGGCTAGGCAGAGATGTATTGACTGACCGACAAAGACGAGATGCTGGTCCTGCAGTCTAAAATTGTGGCGATGGGACGGCCCGAAAAATACCAGCTGTCTGTGGTTCGGAAGTATTTCCACGGCAGTGACGGCATACCCGAAGACGAGCTTGGCAATAGCCAGCCCAGGCAACCTACCGGCAGCAAGGACGTAGAGAAGGGGGCCGATAAGGGCTTGGAATACGACCATAGCCGACTCTTGGCCGGACCTGACGAATCTCGACTCAAGAATAAAAAGGAGCTCCTTGCCTTGAATCCTCCTTCAGAGAAAGACCTCATCACGCAGATGATTCGAAGCCATCCCGGGTTTCTACCCAAGGTTAGTTAGAGTCGATCTCTCTCTACCGCCCTCCTCCCCACTAGATCCCGTCCGCTCAGCGGCGCGTCTTGAGGGACGTTATTTCTAACTATTGGCAGGAGATAAGCCCGGACGGCAAACGCGAATACACCAACGAAAAGGTCATTGGGAGAGTCGCTGCGATCCTCAGCGTGAGCCTGGCGATCGGGCTCATGCTCGGGGCCATCTTTTCGCTCCGGGCGGTCCAAAGTGACGGCGGCCGCATCGGTCTGATCGTGGCCTTCACGGTGACCTTCGCTGTCACCGTCGGCATCCTGACGGACGCGAAGAGGGCGGAGGTGTTCGCCTCCAGCGCCGCATACGCGGCCGTGCTTGTGGTATTTGTCTCAGGCGATTTGGCGGGATCGAGCGCGACGGGCAGTGCCTAGCTTAGTATGTGAGGGCCTTGGGAACAGTGCCTTCGTGTTGTGTGTAGTACTATGATTAGGGTAACGAAGGGAACGGAAACTCTCCTTGGTTGATGTAGCGTTGGATGTGCTAGGGGTTGGAAAAGGGGAAAGACGGAAAAAAAGATTACGTAGACTTCTCACACCAACGAGAATGGAACAATGGATATCGCGTCTACAGCGCTGCGTTAACAACAAAGAGGTGCCCTGCCTACCTCCCTAGGCAGAAGGGACACGCTTAGGTACCTATATGAAGGAACATGAGATGTGAGGTAGGCGTCAAATGAAGATAACTGGGACACGGATCAGTAATTGAGATGCCCAGAAACACGGAATAATACCAGTATAGTAGGAAGTTATGGTGATGTTAGTTGGTGCTGGTATGAGAGTCGCGCCTCGATATGGACTGGGTTATGGGGGTGAAGAGGGTAAGGAGGGTATGAGGATAGGGAGGGGATGAAGTAATCGGGGATGCCGTTCCCCTGTATGCTGTCAGGTGCCTACATTGCCTAGGAGGTACCTCTCTAGGGGGTAGGTACCTCTTTGTATGCCCTGTGCAAGTTGCTCCAGGCACCTAAGGTAGATGTCTACCTATGTACCTACCGGGGCAGATCCTGTTCCAACGTTCCAATGCTCCAACGCTCTCACTGTCTCACACCTATCAGTTTCCCTTCCTACACGCGTTTGTTTCTCTATCTATGTGTTGGTCAAACGCATCCGTCCTACGTGAAGTGAAAAACTGTCGGATAGGTACCTCTGCCCAACGGATGGATGGCAAATCAAACGAAATCAAGGTGTATGCCCAGGTATCCAAGCAACCTACCTGCCTAGAGGTATACACCTAGGGGGGGTTATAAATTTAATCCGCCCCTCCCTCACCATGCTAACCATACACTTCCCCTTCTTTCCAAGCCCTCGTTAGCCTTGCTGTCCACGCATACAGGCATATTGATATCTACCTATGTAGATATATCGTCTACACAGATACAGCATGGCTGGCCTCAACCTGGGACGCCTCAGCATTGGGGACGACGACGAAACCGCTTGCATCGTCTGCAACAAGCCGGATGCTCACTTTTGCAACCGGTGCAAGAGCGCTCGTTACTGCTCGCAGCAATGCCAACAGATCGACTGGCCTACCCACCGGCTGCTCTGCCGGGCCTTCTCCGACTTCGATGTCTCGGCTCGGCCCTCCGACGAATGCCGCCGGGCGCTCTTCTTTCCCGTCGAGGGTAAGATGAAACTTGTCTGGCTGCATTTCCGGGTGTCCAAATACGACGACGAAGAGGACCCCTGGGACCGAACTCCTGATACCGATCCTTTCCTTGGTCCCGACTGTATTTTTGCGTACGCGTCTATCGCGTATAACACCGTCTTGGAGAGGAGCGTGGATAACTCGCTTGGTATCTGCTACCGTGACACCTTCCTAATGGACGGCTCCAAACCCAACAAGAGCGTTGCCGCCATCACCGCCACCAAACCAGGCGAATTGTATGAGTGGCGGGGCCCAATGCTGGCGTATACCGAGTATAAACCCAGTGTCGACCATGTCTACCCTGGAGACTTTAGCATGAGGGACTTCCGAAACGTCACCGACTTCTTCCTGACGTACAGGGCTAATCTCGAAAAGCCTGTCCTGCCGTCCGGAGAAACGGTTAAGGGCGTGAGAGTCAACTGCCTCGGCGACCGGAAGATGCTCAAGAGGCCTCAGTTTGAGGCCGTCGACGTTCCCGTGACAAATGCCATCTTCCTCGACCACGACGTTTCTGAGATCACGAAGCGCATCGGGATCCCCATCTTCACCTGGCAATGTCGGCCGCACCCCAAGTGGGCCTACGACGAGAGCAACAAGATGTTCGAGCACGAGAGCCCTTACAACAACCAGCTCGCTACGTTCCTGCATCTATCATGCAATCCGAACAGCCCGTTCAATTTCAACCACGGAACGATGGGCTGGGGATTTCCCTCGATGAAGTGGCAGAACGACGTGGGGAGCGCCGTGATCGTGCGCCAGGACCGGAAGCCGCTGCACCCGGCCCACGCCGAGGCGTTGTGCAAGTACTGCATGTTGGAGGTTGCTCCCATGTTCAGGCACTCAAACGGTGAATTTGCGCCGGAAGAGCCGATGGCTAAGAAGGACGTCCTCGCCATGATCACCCGGCCCCTGTTCGCCATCTACTGGAATAAGCTGCAGGAGGAGAAGTATCAAAATGGAGACCACACATCCGTCCCAAGCCCTTACGATCCTGAGGGTGAGAATTAATCCCCTGGCAATTTGAGTTGCGGGGACTATGGCGGGCGATCGGAGGCGGAGTGGTAATGTCGGATGGTTCGCACGGTTAGGCAGCTCCCGAGTATTGCGAGTAAATGCTATCACTACGAACTACCTGCTAGTATTTCATGCTTGTTTCAGGCCACATAAGCAGCCGTGACGGCGAAGGTGGTGCCCGCGAGGAGATAGGCGGGATCGTAGCGGCCCCGGCGCCATGCCGCCACTGTGAGTATTATTACACCGACGTAGAAACCGGATCCTAGGAGGTAAGCAAGTATAAAGCTTTGCTTGTTAGTAGAATTATTAGTACCACCTAGTTTGCAAGTAAGGATGGATGACAGTCGGTGTCTAGTCTTGCTCTCCCTTTCTTCCTTTCTTCCCTCATGGACAAGTCTAGCCCCTATTCAGATGAGTGGCAGTACCTACCTAACCTATGCGAAGATTGCTTCTCGCAGTGGATTTGCCGATTGCTCTAGCCATCGACACCCGTCTCCGCTCCCAAGCCCATTATTGTGACCCCGTTATCCTGACATTCCATCCCATGGCGTTGTGCGGGCTCACTGGAAGGGCTACGGTACGGCATACCCCTCGCGAATACCTGAGCATTATTATCAGTAGACAATCTGGGGTCACGTCCCAGAATCACAGATCTCATCACGAGGCCTGCAAGAGAGTGCGTAGTGGTGTCAGCGCAGAGATCGACTAACGTGGGCAGATCGAGCCCAGTAACCCCCAGGGCGTCGGGGTCGGTGAGGGAGGCCCCGGCTGTGTAACGTTGCCGAGACCGTCGGCGCGGGCCCCGGTTCGTCGGACCATGAACGCGAGGTAGGTGGGCAAGTGGGCAGACATCGCTTTTTCAGCGCGGGGGAGGAAGAGGAGAAGGAGGGGATCATACGTCGTTGGTAGGGTGAGACGGCACTGATCTGGCGTATGAGAGGAGAGGAGAGAGAAGAGAGAGAAATAGAGAATACGGTGGACACAAATAACTGTAAAATGGTATGGTAAATGCCCACGTCGGGAAGAGAGGACGCGTGCGTAGATGTCGCACACAGGAGGCTACATAAGCCTGCATCCTCACTCGCGGGAGGTATCGGCGTCGACAACGCCCACCATGGGGAGTATGCAAATACGCGATGCCTGTCCTGTATCGGGTTTCGCGCCGCGGCATGTGTTGTAGGTACTTAAGCCACCTTATGTAGGCATCAGGAACCTGTGGCCACGGGCCAGATGCATACCTAGGTATGCATCTAACTCGACACGAGAGGTAATAATATGTATTACCGGGGACGTATGGCGCAATCGGTGAGCCAACGCCGAGGTCGGTAACCCACCTCCGTCCGTTATCAGGCCGGTCCGAGACAGGACCGATATGTAGGCATGGTTTTTGTCTTCTTTCCTCGCGTGCTTACTTGCGTCCTGCATCATTTTTTGCCTATTCGTTAGAAACTAAACCCCCGATTCGATCGGCGTATTTTGGCATTATCGTCCCGGGGGTTGACGGGAACCATAACGAAAAAGAGAAAGAGAAAAAAAAATAGCATAACGATTCGCGGGCCGTACCGGTTTCTCGTATGGTGCATTTTTATCTCTAGCTAGTAAACGCTATCAAGCTAGATGTTCGAGGGGATCCTGCGGCCGCTCCGGTGGTTCTATCACGAGTTCGGCGTCGTCGCGATCCACGAGACCGGCCGCAATGCCTACCTCATCATCCTGGCCCGCACATGCCGTATGTTCGCGTACGGAACTAATGCCCTGATTCTCGGTATGCCCCCCAGTCCCGCCCGGTTCCGCTGCGCGAGAGCGTACTCGCGGTGGCGCTGACGCGGGCTTCGCAGCCATCTTCTTTTCCGCCTTAGGCGTCTCGGACCACCAGATCGGCCTCTTCATGACCCTCACGATGCTGGGGGACGTCGTACTCGGGACCTTCCTCACCCTCGTTGCGGACCGCATCGGAAGGCGCAAGGTCCTCGTGGGCGGCTCCGTCCTGATGGTATTCAGCGGTGTCGTCTTTGCCGTCTTCGAGAACTTCTGGATCCTGCTGCTAGCCGCCATCGTTGGCGTAATCAGCATCACTGGCGGCGACTTCGGCCCGTTTCGAAGTATCGAGGAGTTCGTTTTTCTTCTTCACACGTCGATCAAGAAGCAGTTTAGGCATGGTTTCGAGCTTCGCTGATAGGTGGCCAGGTCCATGCTGTCGCAGCTGACGACCCCCGCGACAAGAGCAGATGTCTTGGCCTGGTACGTCTCCACGGCGCTGTTGGGGTCGGCGTTAGGAAGCGAATTGTCGGGCAGAGTTCTCCATCTCCTCCAAAGTAAGGATGGTTGGGCCGAGGTTGACTCGTATCATGCGCTTTTCTGGATATATGCCGTCATGGGTATGGTGAATCTGGGGCTGGTATTATTGCTGACAGATGCGTGCGAGCTTCAACCGACGAAGGAAGCCTACACGCAGCTTCCGCAAGACGAATATGCGCACAACGTGGACATCGGCGCCGAGAATAGTCCACCACCGGAAGAGGAAGGTCTCGCTCCCCTACGGCCTCGCAACTGGATTATGCGGGTCTTTCAGTGGTTATCGAACAGGCTCGCTCAAATCTCGGCACCAACGCGGTCGATCATGTACAAGCTATGGTTCCTCCTAGCTGTAGACTCGCTCGCGGACGGGATGGTACCGTATTCCCTCACAAATTATTATCTGGACGAAAAGTTCCACCCTTCAAAGTCAGTTCTCGGTGATATTACTTCTTTCAGCTATCTCCTCGGAGCGCTATCGGCGACATTCGCTGGGCCCCTGTCGCGAAAGATCGGCCTCATCAATACGATGGTGTTCACCCACGTGCCGTCGTCAGCATCAGTATTGGTATTCCCGTTTCCTCCGTATCTCTGGATGGCGGCCGGCCTGCTGCTCATCCGCTCGGGATTGAACAATATGGACCAGGCGCCACGGTCGGCTTTCATCGCCGCCGTAGTGAAGCCCGAGGAGCGGACGGCAGTGATGGGCATTACGGCCACGATCAGGACGCTCGCCGCCATGACAGGACCTAGCGTCACGGGTATCCTGGCGGCTAGCGACCGCTTCTGGGTCGCGTTCGTCGCAGCAGGCTCCTTCCGCCTGGCCTACGACTTTGGTCTCTACGCCATGTTCGTCAACATGAAACTTTACGAACACGAGAGCAAGCAGCCAACCGACGGATCTCACGGGCACCACCCGAGGCAAGTGTCCGATGAGGAGAGGGAACTAGAGGGTCTAGTCGACTCTTCCGACACCGACAGCGGTAGCGAAGAGGTAGAGCCGGAGGCGCCGAAAGGCAGATTTGCTAATCTCGAGGTCCCGGATTTGGACCAAAGAGTCCGAAGCCGAAGCCCGCGCCGATCGTCGATAGACAGTTGAGGCGCTCGGAAGACACGGAAACTGTCGTGTCATAAGTAGATTGAAGGTATGCACCCATCGCAGCTTGGGGACCAACCGTGGCAAGACAGTTTATCTTGTCTTACGGTAGGGGAGGTTGGACTGAGGAGGAGGAGGAAAGGGATGATAGAGTAGGTATTTCCCTGTAGATTGTTAGCTACTACACGACCTAGACGCATAGAATTCTACTCCTTTGGTTCTTCTACCGTTAGAGGTGCATATGATGGAGTCACGTAGGCGTATTAATAATCCAGCCGCGTGCCGTTGAAGCTAAGATTGCAGATGAAGATGACGACGCATCACGACTCGGGACCTAATACACCAACCCCTCTTCCGTGGCTGTGTCTACCAGGCGCAATGCGCAACGCCCAGACGCGCCATCGGTTCAATACAGATGGGGACCTACCTACCTCCCCGGTATTGTATAATATATCTATCCAATATACCTGGTTATCCCGAGCTACCTAGGTACTAAGTATATCGTTATAGCCGGTGTCAATTTTCTACGCCAGTACCGTCTTATCCCGTGCGTCATAGAGGATGCCTTGTCTGGTAGGTACAAACGCGATGTTACTGCCAAGGACTACGCAATACTCGACCTGTCCATCGTCACCCAGGTTGGATACCTTTCGAACGTCGAAATACCTCAGCAGCAGCCATACTGACAACAACGCATCCGCGGGACACGCACGGCCACACAGTCTACCCGAATCCACTATCGTGGTCTTCCTTGGAATTCCAATACCCTAGCCGAGCATTCCGGACAGCCTTAACTCGGGTCCCCCTCCTGGTTTCCCCTCTAAAGCGCACGCGACTCCTCTGTTCTCCTACCCCGTACCGTTTCGGCCCGCGCCGAGAGACCGTAAAGGACGAAGCCTCGCGAAACTCTCGTCCACGTAGTCATGACATCGACCGCTGCCGTCATAGGGAGCACCGGGCTCACCGGCAGCTACATCTTGTCCACCCTCCTCAGCCTCGACGCCTTCAAGGCTATCCATACCATCTCCCGACGAGCCCCCAACGCCGAGTCGCCCAAACTGGCTGCCACCATCGAGGCCGACACTGCCAAGTGGGCATCGAGCCTCTCGTCCATCAAGCCCACGCCGGCCACGGTCTTCTCCGCCCTAGGAACAACGCGAGCCCAAGCCGGTGGCATCGCGAACCAGTGGAAGATTGATCACGACTGTGAGTGCCACGCCCAGCATCTGGGGGCATTCGGTTGTAGGGGGGGCGAGAAGAAGACTAACAATATTGGCTCTGCCTACACAGTAAACGTCGAGATCGCCAAAGCCGCGCGCGCCGCTGGAGTCAAGACGTACGTATTCATATCCTCGACCGGCACACGAAATCTCGTCAGCAGCCAGCTTCCCTACTCCAAGATGAAGATCGGGGTCGAGGATTCGATCAAGGAGCTCGCATTCGAACAAGCTATCATCGTGCGACCGGGGGCCATCCTCGGCGAGCGCGAGGTCGCCCACACCGGCGGCGCCTTTATCAACACCTTCATCCACGGCCTCGGCAGCACTCTTGGCCGCGGCTGGCAAGACAAGCTGGGCCAGGATGCCGACGTGATCGGACGCGCTGCCGTGCGTGCCGCCGTACTAGCGGCCGAGGGCAAGGCGCCTAGCCAGTACTGGGTCCTAGAGCCAGCCGACATCGTCAAGCTCGGCAGAGACGAGTGGAAGGCGTAGGCCAGTGAGAGAGGCGGGGCCTGGGAAGATAATCGGGCTCGCCGTTGTCCTCTTGGAACTAACTACCTATCTATGTATCTGGCAGTTGCGGCGTCTGGCGCGTAGGATATCCTCACGAAGGGGTTTGGGAAGGACGAGGAATGAAATAGGACCTGTAAGACAACATGAAGCCGGTTCAAAATCCCTGCCACAGTACAGCACCCTCCACATTCGGTCCAGATACCCTGTTCTCTAGTTGTATTGTGCATTAACCATGCTGTTACCTAGTTTTTTACGTTCACGTTGTTACTGTTATGTAGCGCCCAGTGCAAGTCAATAGACGGAACTCGTCTCTCTATGCAACCAGAACTCATACCTAGCAAGACCCTGTAACTTGTGCTCTAACGAATGTTATTTTACGAGGACGCTAGACTTCTGCCTCGAGGAGACACACTACCACATCCCAGCAAGGTGAAAGAAGGGGCATCAACATACGAATGACAAGGAAACTGTAGCGGAGCCGTAAAAGGCACTGTACAATCGATCTTACCACTCCGTTCCCCACTGTGAGCACTCTATTCGCAGGAATGGTTACGCGAGGTTGTCAGTCTGGGGTGCGTGTAACGGCACGATATGCCCACTCATCGATAGGTAGTGTAGGTTCTACAGTCTAACCCGTGAGAGGCCAGTCCTACCCTCTCTTTGTCAAATTGCAGCTTTGGTAATAGATTCAAGGAAACTTGCGGCATCGTATTATGCAAGTTATGAGAAGCTAGCCAACCCTTCGCGCCTTGCACCGGTGTAAGACGTATTACCTACTCACAGAGCCGCGTGAGGGCCTACTCAGAACACCATACCATTATTTCCGCTACGGTTAGTTTGAAAGAATAAAAATCGAGAGCGATGTTTTCCTTTGAATGACCGCGCGGACATGAACAGCTAATAGAGGGAGCTGAAAGAACTTCAGTGTACAATTATTCGCCTCAAACTCCCCTCGTTACCTCGTACAAAGAGTGGCGTTTTCCCACCCCTATTCTCTCTACCACAATACCATTCGGCACGAACAATTCTATTATAGCAAGCAGACGATCTCCTTTCCTGCCTAGCCCAGGAGAAAGAGTCGTAGAGGCAGTCGTGTGTCCTTCTCACAGAATGACCCATCTCGGGGAAAGGCATAAATATCTGCCTCGGTCGCCTCGATATCGATTCGTTTTTCTCAGCATCATCATCACAACAACCACCAAAGCAATCAACACCTCTTCTACAACAGTCTACACAAGCAAATAGCTCTCATCAACCGCTCCACTAACTCTTACAACCATCCACACCTCAATTTACCCACTCCACCTCAACCCCATCTTCAGAATGTCTGCTCAGGCTTGCAACACTGCCGCCGCCGCCGCTGCCACTCAGCAGGACAATGCTCCCTCCTCCGGCTGCAGCTGCGACAACTGCAGCTGCGACAACTGCAGCTGCGACAACCGCCCTGCCCCTGATGTTACCACTGAGGCTGAGGCCAGGGATTCCCAGGGCAGCGGTTCCCAGGGCAGCGGCGTGCGCACCACCCTCGGGGGAAGACTGCTCGTCGGCGCCAACGTTGCCATGATCACTGTAGGCGGTATCCTCCTGACCATTCCCGCCACCAACATTACTTCCATCTAAGAGGGATAACCCTCTTGACTATTAATCCATACCTCGTCGTTTAACCATTGGCGACCTGGGATGGACGAGTTGATGGAACTGGTAGATCTACAAACCCAGAATAAAAAGGAGAAGTACCGGGGCCTAGACTAGATATGATCTCGACAACAGCTCCACGCGAAATAGTATATAGATGAAAAGAAATCTACTTCCATAAACACATACCATCTTAGACTTATTAACGAGTGACTTTCTTATCTGTAGTTCCTAGCTTCCTTGAATTGTGAATTGGAAACAGCGGTTTACTATCGAACAAAAAGTAAATTTGAAATCAGGAGTAAAGATCAAAAGTCATTGCCGGCACTTTTCCAACACCACCGCGAGCGAGCACACTGATGGAGAATAGGTCTGACCTACTGCGGACAGAGACAACGCATAGGCTTCTTAGCCTAGTATGCCTATATAATATCAAACAAATCGCTGCTCCTATTCGTTTTCATTGTTACACGAGTCGATGAAGCCTCCGATCTTCCAATCTCGTAGTTAAGTCTAAAAAGGAAGGGCCATTCAGCAACCCGATCGACAGATAGCAATCCCGGCTTAACCTAACCCAATTTTATCTCAATATGGCGACTTTGCGTAGCGTTACAGAGCGCTGTGTGAACATGTGTCAAAGTAGGGAGGCAATAGGGGTAAGCTTCTATTCAGGGCCATTGTCTGATTCCTCCCCGGCCCTCTCTCTCATGCCACGAGGCCCCCTCTCTGCGTTTTGCACCCAGGCCCTTTGACCCCCTAAGGCGGCGGTGTACATACGCCCGCCATGCATCTCCGAGGTAAGACTCTTCCCCCCCCCCCTCACCCCTCCCCACGGGCGCCCGCTCACAGCCGCGCGCCCTTTGATTGTCACTGGGACCCAGGCGTTTTCGCGCTCTGCCAGGCCCAGGCGCCGTCGGGGCCCTCGCGCAGCCGGAGGTCCTCGGGGCCGCGGGGGACTTGCACGAGGCCGGCCATGCGGGCGAAGACGGCGCGGCGGGGGGCCTCGACGGCGTCGAAGTAGCGGGCGACGGGGCCGACGGGGATCTCGTCGGGGGGGTGGTCTCCGGGCGCGTCGAGCGCGGCCCAGAGCTCGTCGACGAAGTCGGGCAGGGGCATGCCGATGTCGGCCTGGCCGGCGGCGACAAGCTCGGGCTGGCGGGCGTGGAGCTCGGTGCGGACGGCGGGCGGCAGGATCTCGAGCACGCGCAGGTGCGCCCAGGCCGGGTCGCGCGCGAGCTGCGCGCGCACCGACCAGGTCAGCGCGTGCAGCGCCGCCTTGCTCGCGCTGTAGTTGCCGCCGCGCGCCATCGGCACCAGCGCCGCCCCCGACGTCACCGTCGCCAGCGCCGCCGGCCGCGGCCCCACCCCCCGCAGCTGCGGCAGCAGCCCCGCCGCCAGCTCCACCGCCGCCCCGTAGTTCGTCGCCAGCTCCGCCCGCACCCGCCCCGCGTCGATCGCCTCCGGCCGCGTGAAGTCCAGCATGCACTGCACCCCCGCGTTCAGGAACACCGCGTCGATCCCCGGGTGCTGCGCCGTGATGCTAATAGAGAGCCGCGGCCGCGCCTCCCGCGTCAGCTTCGTCTCCCCCCGCTCGCTGCGTTTTCGTTCGTCTTCCGTCCTGGTGGCTTGAGGAAAGGGAAGTGGGGGGGGGAGGGCGACGGGAGGGCGACGGGAGGGAGAGGGGAAAGGAGGGAAGAAAAGAGAAGAAAAGAGAAGAAAAGAGAAGAGAAGAGAAGAAAAGAGAAGAGAAGAGAAGAAAAGAGAAGAAAAGAGAAGAAAAGAAAGAAAAGAAAAAAAAAACTCACTCCTTGCACCACCCCGCGATCTTGTCTAGCTCTGTGATGTCGAGCTGCGACGTGGCGGCCTTGTCGGCCCCGTGCTTGGCCACGAAGGCGTCGAGCCGCTCCTTGCGCCGGCCGACGCCGATGACGAAGACGCCGTTCTCGATCATGCGCTCGGCCAGGGCGAGGCCGATGCCCGACGTGGCGCCGATCATGAGCACGGTCTTGTAGGGGAACGGCATGTTTTCTCTCGTCGCCCTTGATATCGTCTTCCCGGTTGTTATTCTTCTCTTTTCCCTTTTGTCTAGTACCAGTTCCGGCCTTTCTCTACCTTGTCCTTGCCCTTTTCTTTTGCTCCTCGTCCTTAGCCTGCTCGCGGGGAAGAAGACATACGGGCAAAGGGGAGGGGGAGAGGATGCCCATAAGTGGGGAGTATGTTGGTGAAATAATACGGGGGACAGGCCGGCTGTTGTACTCGGTTCTCCAGATGCCGATGAGACACGAGCCCCCCCCGCTTTGGCCCGTCTAGATGCGCGACGACGAGGACGGCAGTCCGAGACGCGACGACCGATATCTGTGGGTATCTTTTTAAATAGGCAATTCTCCCTAGATTGTTCTCCTTACCCGCCATTACCACATCCTTGGTCACTGGTAGACAACTTGCCAGCGTGAGGACGGCCAAACACGAGTTGCGCTGGGATCCCCGTATAGCGGCATCTTCCCCTACGGCAATGGCACCGTGCCGGTAGCTATGCGTGCTTTGTAATAATGGGCCGTGCTATGACCATTAATAGGAACCGGCCATCCCCAGTATCCAGACACGTCCTAGCTCGAGGGCTGCATCTGCTGAATGTAACTCGATCTTTGCGGCAACCCCACACGGGCAGAACACCCTCGTGGCCGAGAGCTTCATTCCTAGATTAGCCTCTACGGCCATTGGTGGGCTTGGGCCAGATCGCTTTTGCCGAGTGCCAACCTCCACCTCCTCTTTCTACTAAGTAGCCCCAGCCAACCCCGGTAGGCAGGCCGTGCTTACACGCGCCCGCTAAATGTCTGATGTGGGATACTAGGTGGTTGGCTGTATCTCCATTGTTTCTCTTCACCTCCATCTAACGGCCACACCCCCTCGCCCCCCTGTAACTAGGCCTCTTGTTGCCTCGCTAAGAGGACCAAGCTGAACGGAGACGACGAGGATAGCTAGCACATTTTGAGTCGTAAAGAATGGCTATAGAAATTTCAATACAGCGATACGTAGCAAAGCGTGTGCCTCGTGGCTAAGAAACGTGGACGAGCGTTTTAAGCCGAGTAAAGTCGGCCATATTCACCAAATCTTACTTCTCGTTACGCTTTGGATATTAGTGACGGTAACCAACGACAAGACGAATACCTCTCGTAGTATGAAAGCGCCCCACGAGGTCCTGTTAATAATGTTGTGCTACCGGGTTGGCTATGTCTGTTGCGCCATTTCTGCCACATGTTGAAGGCAATCCTACCCACCAACTACGACACTCAGGGGAGCAATATTCTCACAGAATCCCGCGCCAATCCGGTTTCTCCAACTACCGAAATGATGTGAAACACTAAGAAATATTGGTCGGGTTGAACGTGAGCTTCTGTTGCAGACAGAACTAGATGAGCGCCCGCATTGTCCAACGACAATTTATCGTGCTTGCGAGGGCATGTGTTGACGGCGGAGGGTTTCCTTCTCTTCGGTTGTCTTTCACGCACGAGTTGGTTCCTGCGACTTCTGACAATTCTCCTGCAGCCAATCTCTCCATTGCCTGTCTTTCGTGATCGACCTCACCCTGGCCTCGAGCCACTCCGTATTGCCCCAGAACCCCCACGAGGCCTGAAACCTCAGCCAGTCGACGAGCGCGGTTTCCCAATGACGAACAAAGACATCCCAGTCATACTCGTCGAGCGGCCTTGAGGAGCCGTCGGAGTCTACAAGCAGCCCCGAGCGATAGTGTTCTAATAGCGCCTTCTCGGCCGCGTTCATGCCGAGCTCATCCGCCATCTCGGCCCCGGCATCGATAAGAAGGCCGAGGGGTACGGAGCAGGTAAACAGCTTGGCTAGGTCGCAGACGCCAAGCCCGATACCGACGTATTGGAAATCGAAGAATGCGACCCTGCGACCCGACTGTGTGGTGAATAGGTTCTCGGACTTGACGTCGCCGTGGATGAGGGTCTCGTATTTCCGGCCGCGCGGCGTCAGAAAGTCGGCCACCAGTTCGGCGATAGACTTGCCGTCGGGGCCGACCGGCGCGCACAGCGGCGCAGACCACTCCGACTCGTCATCGTCGGCAAGATCTGCGTATTCCTTCCGCCGAGTGGCGAGATAGGTGTAGCCTCCATTCAGCCACAGCTTCGTTCCGTAGCTACGACTGCTCTGTCTTCTCGCTGCCTCCTCAAGGGGCGGCCGGACGTAATCGTCGAGCTGCTCCGGTATCAATTTTCGGGAGCTCCTGTGGAAGCTGGCCAACCAGTCTAGCGCCGCGTAGATCTGGTACTTGTTCAGTTCCGACCTCTTGCCGCCGGCTACCGGGTAGCAAGGTCTCAGGTCTGTTAAAACTATAAAGAGAGTCAACATACACGTATATTTCAGACATGGGAGCATATTGAGTCAGCGATTCAGCTGGATCTTCGATATATAAGACACACGAATAGTAGGTAACTGAATTCGCAGGAGACAGAGCCAAGCCAAGAAGGGCTTGGTAAGTATGAATCGGGAAGATAGCCAGGGAGGGCGCGTACTTGTCGCTGTCACGCCTTTCAAAAGCTCAGCGCCCGGCTTCTCTCGCGCCTCGGCCGTCGTAAGGACGCAGTGTGCCACGGCGGCCGCGCCCTCCAGGTGTGGAGCCACAGAGTGGTAGAAGCACTGCTCGACGTCGTAGCTCAGCAGCTTCCGGAGGTGGCCCTCGTCCTCCGAGCCAGCCCGCGCGGGCGGGGCCGTGACGAACTTGAGGATCAGCGGAAACAGCCCCGGCGGCTGCCCCGTGCGGGCGGCCCCGTCGACGCGGTACACCGCCCGCAGCTCCGCGGCGACGTCGTCGCTCGTCGCCCGCGCCGTGACCTCGTATATGTAGCCGTACCCGGCCCACAGCGTCTGGAGTTTCCGGCACGAGACCAGCGCGAGCGACTTCCACGAGAGCATGATCGCGGCCGCGCGCTCCGGCGCGACTGGAGGCGGCATGGCGATGTCTGGCGTCAACGCGGGCGTGCGTGGGTGGTTGTCGTCGTCACTGGGGAGCTAGTAAAGCCATACCTACCTAAGGTGTTGAAAAAAAGACAAGTTGGCAGATGGAGCTGCTGAACCTAATATGCATTCGACCTAGGCGACTTACGTGTCGCAGGAGGGTGAGAGATGTGGATATAACTGCAGTTAATGCTTCTTATAGTCTTAACCACCAACATGTTGGCACGTATCTAGATGGTGAGTTTTTTTCGATTACTTAAGCCGCTACTACCGCTACTACTACCGCCACTACCGCTACCAAGTCAATTGTACCACCGCTACCAAGTCAACTGTACCACCGCTACTACCACCGCTACTACCACCGCTACTACCACCGCTACTACCACCACTACTACCACCGCTACTACCACCACCACCACCGCCGCCGCTTGTTGTATTATTTAAAGAACGACTTCTAGGGCAGCTTTTCGTTGCGAAAAAGAATCAATTAAGTATACGTTCGTACGGTGGTCAGAAATGCATTTGAAAGGAATTTTTAAAACCCCCTATAAGAAATAGGGAGAAAGTCTGGGTGATGGGGTTAGAGGTTGGGGTGATTAGAACACACGTCCGTATAGCCCATTACCGTGCATAGATACGGGCAGCACTAGCTAGGAAACGGATTGTGGGCTTCATGTCTTTTATTGACAATGTGCAAATTCCGTATCTCATGAAGGCCGGTAGTTCGCTATGGCCGCACAGCTCCCAAGCCGCCCACCTATTGCCTTGTCTGTAGCAGACACGCCTTCCGTAGAGACCAATGCGAATTTGTCATTATCTTACGCCTCGTGCAGGGGAAGTCTCTCCTGAAGACAAAACCCTGCAAAACGCTCTGTCCCATCAATCCTGAGATCTTGCCAATTAATGGATCGATATCGGGAGTTGGGTGTCGGAGATTTTATGTGCGTGTAGTGGTGCAGTCGAGACACACCTCCCTCTAACTGACGCGATAGATTCGTAGATTCAGGTTATGATGACAGGGTTAGGGCGCCGAGACACAGAGGCCAACACACCGAGACCATGAAGCCGGGGATGAAATTCCCTGTGGAAAGAAGACGGATGAACTGTATGAAGTGAAGCCAATAAGCTGCCCCCTTTTGCCTAGGATCTTTCGTATTCCCGTGTTTTCTTTCAGTGACAAAGATCTTCTACGCCATTTATCTGTAGAAGTAGTGTCGAGGGTACCATCAACTCGATATAGGTCAGTTTCCCGTGAGGATTATATCACTATGCTCTTGTCAACAGTCTGTTGGCCGGGTAAGCCAAATCGCACATACCTTTCTTTTCTCACTTTTGCTGTCATGCGAAGCATCCTATTGTGCAGCCGATGGTGGAAAGGTGTATCAAGCATTGCATCGGGATCATAGATCTGGCCAACTAACCCGCCAGGCCCTAGTTCCGTTTGTTCGGGTTCATCTCGAAGAGCTGTTTCATGTGGGCGTTCTCAAAGCGCTTCTGGGTGCGAGGCGCCTTCTTCTTCTTCGGGGCCGTCTTGGGAGCGTTGCCAATACGATCCCGAGGATCGTCGCTGGTGGCCTTCTGGCCGAGGGCCTTGAGCTTGCGCACCATCTCGTCGGCGGGGGGAAGCTTGATCTTGGCCCACATGACCTGGAACTCCGCGTCGACCTCGTGGTGGAGCTCAGGGCTGTCGAGCCAGACGTGCTTAGCGTGGTTGTCTTTCTTAGTACGCACCGTTAGGATCTTGTGCTCCTTCTCGAGCTCGTCAATCGCGCCATCGCAATCAGGCCAGCCGTCTTTGATGTCCTTGACAGAGGTGCAGGACGCGTCCACCTTGTGCTGCAGATACTCGAGTAGTGTGACCTTGGAGGTGACGCCCGGCAGCTTAGCCTTGAACTCGTAGGTACCGGTACGCCACGCGGGCAGGTCAGAGCTTCCGGTGGACTTGGCGCGGGGCGTGGGATTGAACTGGATGCGAGAGTGCCGCTTCATAAGCTGGGAGAATGAACTCTGCTGGCCCTCGGACATGTGTTGGAGGGTTAGGTGGTCGAGAATCTCCTGGAGGGTCTTGGGGGTCCGCTTGGACTTGAGAAAGTCGACTGCATACGTAAGCTGTGTCATCATATGAGCACCGAAGTCCTGCGATGCGGCAGCGGCGGCCGCTGCTGCGGGAGTTGGCGTCGCATTGTCCTTGCCACTGGCGATGTTTCCGTCGCGCTTCTGACGCTTGGGAATCGGGGCATCAGCCTTGGGCGGAACGGGACGCTTCACGCCCTTGTTGAGATTTGTGGCCGTCATAGTGGTTAAGTGCTAGGCTGAGGACTTAGGAGGAGTCCAACTGGAGGGTGTGGGATTCGCTCGCAGCACCTTGTTTGGCCGATGTCTCAACGTGTTGGTAACAACTATGCAGTTTCTTATGGTAGCGAGAGTCGGTCTCTTTGCTACTATGCAGTTTCTTGGTAGTGAGAGTCGGTCTCTTTGCTACGAGACAGGTGGAGAGTGTGATGAGAAGGGGAGAAAGAACAAACATGCCAACCAAGGGAGGGTTGTGGTATATTTAAAGGATAATTGGATTATTTACGACAATATTATCTATTACGTAAAACGTAGACCCCTATACTTACGCTTTACGGTATATAGGTATATAAAGGATAATTAAAGTAATATATAATCATATTTTAATTTATTGTTATCCTATTATTACATCATTATTATCATTATTATTATTAAACTATAATTATAACTATTATTTTATTTTATTTTATTTTTTAAATTTATTTTTATATTACTTTTCGACTTCATTATATTTTATTATATTATTAATATATTTTATATTTATAGATAAAAAATAGTTAATATTTTAAAAATGTTCTAGACTCTTTAATACCTTATATAATTATTAATATAGTATTATTATATATAAAACTTTTTAAAAAAAAGATTATTATATTTATATTTAAAGTTATTTTTAACATTAAAATTTAGTAAAATCTATTTACTTATAGGAAGTATAACGTATAAAGTAAATTATAAATATATATTATAAAGCGTTATCGTATAATACGTAAAGTAAAGTAGCGTATAGGTACGTAGATACAAACGCTACAGACGTAGGCGTGTGGCTTTGTGTGGCAGGGTAGGGCAGATTACGTAAAGCTATGGGGCGAAGAACGCGCGTACGTGGTAGGCGGTAATTAGCGGCAGTAATATGCTATGTGGCGTTGTACGCGCGTACGTGGTAGGCGGTAATGAGCGGCAGTAATATGCTTTGTGGCGTTGTACGCACGTACGTGGTATCGAAATGTTGAATTGTGGGGCCTGGCATTAAGGAGGTCCGGGGATTACGCATTACGGAATGCCGGCTGCATAAGACGGCAGGCGACAATGTACCTCCTCAATTTCAATTTATATGGCAGTGATCGTTGTTGCAACGAGCTTGCGGATGGGATCGTCATCGGTTATTCTATTCCAGGCCCGTAGCATATCGCTGCGCGTTCCTGGAGGTAGCCTACGACGTACTACCCTTTGCCTGCCTCTTCTTATCGTGCCCTCAAACGTTACGGGCCGTACATACGCGGCACCTAACTTACACCAAGACTTGCCCGTATGCATGCGATATACCTAGGAAGCGGCCCAGACGGCGGACTCCGAGTGGACTGTGTGCTAGAGAATCAGGAACACTGATGACACCTATCTTTTACCCATCATCATCGTTTCTCTGATTGGCTGTCGCCAGTGGGTTCTGTTGCCAGATGCAGATGGAAGGATACGGAAAAGCATGGCAAGCCTGGAGGAACGCAATCAGCCCCTCTCAGAATCTACCAGAGGCTTACTGGCTGGATATCGTGAGTTTCCGCTCGGCGCAAGGTTTGTAGATATGCGTGGAAGTTGAGAGAATAGAGAATGAACGGGCAATGCGTCCAAAGGGTGGCCGAATATAGGCTTCGGATCGTATTATCTAATGAGTATTAGTCGCAAGGAAATAGGCGGGCCAACGATTAGCAATCTGAGCAGGCTGGAGATGGACGGGCCGGATCATTTCCGCCATGATATACGCAAGGGAATGCCCCCGAAAGCTCCGGCCATGCATGATATTGTCTATCGTCTTTCACATTCGTCGGCTAACGCCAGGGAGTATCAAAATGGTTCAGAAAACCATTCTCATTACTCCTCGAACATTACAAATTCTCCAGCTACTTTGGTATGCCGGCTTCATATATAAAATAAATACTGGTCCGTTGAAGGTAGCAGGCACGCCCCGTTTCCACGTCACGGTTGAAAGTCCTCTCCGTCGCCTATCCGTTTTTTTTCTCCCACACCGAGGATGAGGTCGTCCGGGATGACCAAGCTGCCCCCGGGCAGACGATCCGCATAGCGCAACGTGCGTGTGGAGAACCAGGCGACCTGGTCTACCAAAGAGTCGGTAGTAATTAATTTGTCATCGAGATATCGATCATCACATCACATTTCTGGGACCGGCTAAAACGCTCTGGATTCCATCCAAACCCTAGATGTATCTTCTAAGCCTCGGCAGCTTGCTGCTGCGTCTGCAGGTATTGATAGGCCCCGAACGCGGCCACAGCTCCAATCAAGACAACCGCGTATAGAGCAGTGCCAATGCCGGCCTGGCTGGTGTTGGCAACGGGCGCGAGCGAGGATTGCTGGGCCTTGGGATGGGGGTCGCCGGGCTGCGTTCGAATACTGTTAGCACATGGCAATGGGGAACGGGGTGGAATCGGACACAATACAGGGGAGGGTAAAGAGGAAATAAGCAGTCTTACCTTCCGCTTGAGCGAACCGACGAGGAGTTGTTCGAGGGCCTCCCGAGCCTCGTCGCTGTGGCCGACGTCCTCGAAGGCCTCCGTCGCATCTTGACCGCCGACATCTAATAAGACCTCCTCACCACCGCTGCAGAGGGCAATCGCTCCCGTTAGCTAAAGGTGCACACCAGCCGGGAACGCGGGAGGGCTCCGCAGAACGCGGCGCAGAGGTTGCGGGTTCCCGTGGGTTTGGATATGCAGGAGCACTTACGGATGCTCGTCGACGAACTTGGTGGCATCGTAGATCTTATCGTGGATGACAACGAAGAGGTCCTTCTTGGTGTTGTGCTCGGCCACGTCTTGGTAGGTGAACTCCTTGTCCGCCATTTTTTATTACTATCTCGCTGCCTCTTTCCAATTAACGATTTACGGATCGAGTTAATTCGGCTGATATGTTGGGAGCGATCGGTCGGCTTCGCACTGGGAGGAGTAGCGCGATGTGAGCGAGATCTGAGGCGATGGATGACAGGCCTACCGGCGAGGGAACTATGTGGTCGCGGAGTTCGGGGTTGGAGGCGTTGGTGAGACGAGCGAGGTCGAGGGAAGAAATTTGGGGATTTGGGTAGGAAGAGGAATTATCTAGGGTATCCAAGGGAGGGATCTCCTGGCAGGATACACCCGAGTTATGAGTTAGGTATGTACATATGTAGGCAGGTCGTACCGTGCCTAGTTACCGGTATTATATGCTATCTGCCATGTGCTATGTGCTGCTTGGTGCTGCGTGTAGGTACTTCCTTCATTCAGGTGGTAGGTACTTAAGGTAGTTAGTAGGTACCCAAGGTAAGACTTACGCACGGAGCTACCTCCCAGTCACCCAAGGTACCTACAACACCTAACGGTACCTATATTCATTTGGACCTGGATATGGATGTTGAGTTGGTGAGGACGTGCTGGGCCCCGTCATTGGCTGCTCCGGCTTGCTTTGGGAAAACGCGAAAGCAGGTGAAAAATAAAGATTACCCCCCAACTCCCTCCGTATACACCTCCTTGCTCTCTATAGTGCAATTCCGTCCTTGCCTCTGGCCCCGAAGAAGAACCCTATAAATGTCCAAAAGGCCAGCTAGGTTATCAGTGATCTGTCCGCTTACCCACCTAGGCTAGGTACCTAGCGGTCGAGCCGACCCCCCGAGGGCAGGCCTTATATGTACCTACTTGTTCAACTGTCTCCCGGGATGGCGACCAATGATTATTACACTACACGTATGTACCTTACCCTACGTAGGTACCAGCGTGGGAACCTGTGGTGGGTCTGCCTGAGCCAGCGCCGCCCAATCAGCATCCTCCTAATTCGCTTTATCAAGGCGTTGTGGGGATCCGACTGCTAGCTCGCTTTTTGCTTTCCTCGCTCCCTCCCACGATTTCGCTTCTCTCCTCCTAGCTCTGGACGGCAGTGATGGATGGATTGATCCCTCCAACAAATCGACCGACCGATCAGATGGAAAACCCCTCTCTTTCCCCCAACGTTAGGTCACGCCATCCCCGCCGACGTCTCTGACTCTTCATCCCCCCTCGCCTGTCTCCTCGCCCTTCAACCCTCCATCTGCTTGTGCTTCTCGGCCCTGTATTCTTGGTCTTGGGAAATGCCAGCAAGGCTGTCTTACTAGTAGGCACGCATCTCGCCTCTACTTGTTGCACCTATGCCGGTAGACCACACGGGATAACTGCCTGCCTGCCAGGCGAACGAAAACGCAGGCCAGTACAACTTCGACTCGACAGACTACACACAATCAAGCCGTACCGTACCTATCTCAACCAATATGGCCAGGACCTCCCTCCCTAGATATATAATGTGTACCTATGTAATGTCCGAAGCGTCTCGGATGGTCAGTTCGCATGCAGGCAGCACACCGTCGGACCCGATCTCACTGCTTCCCGTCGGATACATGATGACCAGAGGCATAAAAGATACCTACCTGGGTAACATTGATGGCTCTCTTGTGCAAGCCGGGTTTTCCTTCCTACGAACCATGCTAAGCCTGACAGAATCAGACCGATCATAGAACGGGAAGCGTACTGAAAGGAAACCCCCCCCCCCCCCAAAAAAGGATTCACAGTAGAACCAATATCTCGGATAGTTTCATACGCGAGTATGTGTACTATACCTATACATGCACATGCGTACTCTATGTGCGTAGTATGTGTGTGGAACACGCAAGATATGCCTTATTTCTTCCTTCTTCCTCCTTCCCTGGCTCCCCTGATATCTCCAGCATCGGTGGCTTGGCTTGTCACCCTCGTCTTATCTGCCGCCATCCCGGAGATAGAAGCGCCCCCATGCAAGCGCTAGCAGGATGGATGGATGCATCCAATCGCATCGGCACCAGCGTCCGCTCTGGCATCGACCAATAATGCCGCCGCTCGCTCGAGGAGTGGCGGCATAAACCCTCCCACGCAGTCCATAATAGTCATTTGCCTACCAAGATGTTCGGCTCGCTTTTCTCCCCGCTACTTCACCACCGTCCATCTTCGGCTGGACTCCCCGAGCATAGGGTATGCCATTCTCGATAGCGCCTCGGCTGAGACCTCTCTCATGTGAGGGGGAGGAAGATAGCGGCCGCTACCGGATCTCTTCCACGGCCGTCATCCAGCAGACAATGCCGTGATGATCTCCGCACCCGAGGAGGGGTGTCGTGGCATGGCGCACTGAGGGGCCTCGGTCCGTCACGACGCATCTACCCCTGGAGAGTCTGCCCTGGAGTGTGGGAAGTTCGAAGATTACGGCAGGCAGGTAGACAGTCAGACCAGTACGTAGGTATAGAGGAGACCCCAGAGTGCTGACCGGCCACATCCACGCCTGCGCTCCTAATTCGTCCAGTTGGGAACCAGACTACACGAATACGAACAGCCTGCACTCTATCTCTTGTTGGCACCCTCTCTTCACTTACCCTGGCGCAAAGAGACGCGACAGGACATGAGCTCCGCGCAGCCGATGTTTTTATATCCTTCTCACTCGAGTTCAATCTGTGTCTTTCTCGATTATCCGCATCATACGCTCTTCGTCATCCCCGGTCCTGCCGGTTCTTTCGCTTACCTGCCGCCAAGTGTCGACGGGTTGTCCGTGGTCGTTTACACGAAGAGCGAACACTCCGGGTTATCTCCGCCCCTCTTACTGATCCTCGCATAAGCCGCGGTTACGGCACTCCGCGGCCAGCGAACGCATCTCCTCGTTGGGCTACGGCATTGGCATATGGTACCCTGCCACCGAATACAGTGATTACAGCACTGTTTATGCTCATTGTTTCCGGGCCCACCTTCGTCGGATTCCTCGTCTCAAGGACTCTGTGTATAAAGAAACGCGTATGAAGCCTTGACAGAGCCGGCCCAGATTTGTGGTCCGGAACAGCCCCGACCATCTCCGGAAATGGTCACAGCGCCGGGGCCGGAACCCGGCCACTCTCCGAAGTGCCAGCGCAGCTGTCGTGCCGCATTGTTGAGGAGTTGAAGTCCCAACGACTTAGCTGGTTTATATTTGTGACTCCTGTAGTAATCATTGGGATACACGGCCCCGACGTTTTCTGGTTATCCAATTGCGTAGTCGAGCTCCGGGGTACATCGCGTGTCTAGAAGACGACTGGCAGCTTCGGTTCTACACAGCCGTAGCACAATATAGCGAGACCCCGACTGTACCCGGGTCTGCGAAGGTGACAGTCGATGAACCTAGCCTACTTTGCCTTCTAGTCACCGGCTCGCTTCCTGATACAGGTCTATACGTGGAGTATTCGCCTTCTTCCACCTGTCTATTCTATTCATGTTATATTTACACCAGGCGTCTTCGCTCGGATGAAGTCCCGAATACCGCAGTCCGCGCATCAAGTGATGGCCGACCACCGGGCCAGCAGACTCGGCTCTGCTGCGCAATGGGAAGCTATGTTCCAATGCTCATAGGGAATGCCTGAGTCCCCTAGGTTCTGCCCGGACGCACCCCTAACATCCAGGGCCGGGCCGTTCACGGCATGGACCTCCGTCACCACCCGCGCCGTCGCCCCGATCGCGCTTTTAGCAGCCTGTGACTCGGAGCGCCTAGCTCGAGTTCATCTGCTTTCGTCCGTTGCTAGTGCGGAAAGGCCCGGTAGTGGATCTCGCCTACCCTTGACCGTGCGCTCACGCGTGCGTCCCTAGTTTCCAGCCTCCGCACCGCGGGGAGCTATTCCACGCGGGGGTTCGCGTCCGGGAGAGCAGGGAGAGTGCTGCAGCCCCTAGCCCCCTACTTCCGGTTCCCTAGATGGCATTAGGCCGCTGACTACTCCTTCCCCCCTGTTAGCGGGATGCAGAGCGGTCGTCGCGATGCCGGACCGATGCTACTTGCGTGAGGTGGTAGGCAGGTCTTCGGGCAAGTTACTTAGACACACAGGAGAGTCGCCGCGTAGATGGCGATACTGATGAGGGCAGCCTCCCCAAGGCAAGCACGCATAGCAACTAGACGACGGCTGTAGCATGCGCGCGGAGGCCCCATGGCTTGTACGGGGCGTACGGATGGGCATCGAGGAAATTCCGGCCCAACACCGTGCTCAACTGTTTTATTCTTTCCGACAGGCAGCGCCAGCGTCGTTGTCGCTATCAGTTACGTCAACACGTCTGTCCCCGCCCCCCCCCGAACCATCTGTGACCCTGTCCGAGAAGATTCATCCCTCTATTCTCAATACTCTATGGCGAGTCAGCTGGCTCCCCGACGAACCACCACCACTTTCTTTCGCTCGCGTGCGCACACGCGCACGCTCTCCGCAGCCCCTGCCTCCTAAGCCTACTATCTTTTGCTCCCCCCCCCGCTCTCTCTTTCCCCTCTCATCTGCCCGCTCACCTCCTCGAGCTGCCGCCGCCGATGTCCTGGCCGACGCGGTAGCTCGCGACCTTGTCCCACTCGACCTTCTGGCGGGTGACGGGGAGCTGGCGGCGCAGGCCCTTGAAGGCGCCCTCGCTGAGGCTCGCGAACCCGCGGTTCAGCTCCTCCTGGTACCGGCGCTCGGCGGCCGCGATCTCGCGCGACAGCGCCGCCCCCGTCGCGCCGCCGCCGCCCGGCGACGAGGCCGCGATCGGCTTGTGCGTCTGCAGCCGCACGTTGCCGTCCTCGTAGTAGTGCACGTCCACCTTGACGCTGCCCTCGAGCGCGCCCGACGACGGGTCCACGATGTAGAGGGAGCGCCAGCGCCCGTTCCTGTCCCCAGGTGCGTCAGCGGGTGCCCGGTTATACCCCGTTTCCCTTCCCCCTCTTTCCTCCCCTTTCCGGGTTGCTCTCTTCTTGTGTGTAGAGCGCAGGTGGAAGGGGTGGGATACGGAGATAGAAGTAAAAAGGGGGTGGGTAAGTGACAGCAGTGGGGCGCTGGTGGGGAGTCGTGAGAGGCTGGCTTACCAGAAGTTGTTCGGGCTATACTTGTTGGCGACGATGATGATGGCGATCTTGGAGTCGTTCTCTATAGGCCAGGCGCCGTAGGAAGCGCTGGGGAAGTGCTCCTTGACGTAGGCCGACAGACTCTTAATGATAGACTTCCTATGCGTGCGCGATCTGTTAGCGGGCCAGCCACCCTTCTATCCGTACGCTCCCCCGTGCTACTCCGGCTCTCCACGCACAGCTACTCTGACGCATGGTGCATGTCAAGTATCAAGGAAGGTGAGGCGTACACTAGTTCCGCGTGCGGGCTGTCGAGGACGTGGCTCTGGACGGCGCTCGCCCGCTGGGCGGCGTGGTCGAAGGCGAAGCTCGACGAGCTCTCGACGTCGTAGTAGCGACCGCCGACTAGGGCGTTGTGCGAGCTGACGATGACCTGCTGGGGGCTGCCAGGCAGCTTCGCCGTGACGAATTGCTCCTCGTTGTACCGCTGGAACGCCGGGCCCAACTGCGAAACGAGCTCGGGCTCGTTGATCGTGAGGGATTTAATGTCTGCCGGCGGTGTTGGTCAGGACGGTTAGGGCCCGGAGACTTTGGCTGCTCGGTGCGGTGGTGGGAGTGGGAGGTCGGTTGGGAAGGTGGAGGACAGGGCGGGTTGTGTATTACCGTTTACCACGTCTGCTAGCTGTACCGTTCCAAGATCCATAAGTCAGCTTGGTAGTTCTGGTCCGGGGCATCGTAATAAGGAACGGGTTTATAGAGAGAGAAAACGAGTTGACTTTAGGGAACCTGTCTGGTGAGATGGAAGCATGCATACCTCGCCTGGCGGTGCGCCCTCCACGAAGGACTCGAGGGTCTCTAGCGGAGTTGCCATCTCGGCCTTTTCCGGGCTGAAGGGAGGGACGAATGGGATGATGGCAGTCGACGTCGTCTCTCTTTTTTTTTTCGGCCTCGTCGCAACTCCGTCTTCAGCTTGCTAGGGCGGGCGGAGTTGGATGTTGAAAACAACGCGGCTGGTAACGCGGGGCGGGAGGAAACCGGGCAGGACCCGAGACGGGGGTTCAGACAAGCCGCACAGGCTCTAGGCGGGGCGGGCTGTTATCGATAAGCAGCACAGATAAGATACCAGCAGTGTGACATCAGGCGAGGAGCCGTCAGGGAATTTAGCAACAAAACCGGATTATTGCCTTATACGGAGGTATTCGGCGCAGCGTTTGCGAAGACACTGTAGGGAGTACTACAAATGGGACGCCTTGGGAGGCGCTGACGAAGTAGGCGGTAGCACGTTGTATCCGAATATCAATACCTACCTACATACCTATATCAGGGCACGGCTCGAATGAGGCGCATCCGGGAGTATCGCCGGATCCATGCGACTGAGACACGGATACATCTGACGTAGGCGAGCTAAGAAAGAAAAAAGAAAGAAAATAGAATAAAACTCGCAACCGGCATGCTGGGTTCTGGCTTGTTTTTGGCGTCGGTATGAGTAACTGATGCCACGATCTAATTTGGCCAGTTCATCAATCGCCAGCCATGAAATCCAATATTTGGCTGCGGACTCGGTCCGAAATGGGTGCCACGATAGCCTCCTGTGTAGCTGGTTGGTCGCCGAGTCTCACCGAACTACCGCTCGCTGCTGTATTCCGCCCATCCCGTACAACGACCGTACAACGACCGTACACATCTGCATGCATGAGGTTGCTGTCCTCTTTCTCCGCCATGTCGTCCCCCCCCCCCCCCCCCCCCCCGGATGTGTGTCTAGTATTCTAATAGTTTCTTGACCCCATCGTATACCCCTGTCGGCATGTCTGGTTAGCGTTCGTGGTGAAGAGGGGAGAGGGCATCCTGGAGCCGGGTCGAGAGAGACTCACGAGCTACGTCGGGCACGTTGAACTTCTCAAACAGCAGCGGGGTAAAGGTGCTCCATCCTGCCACGCGTGACACCGGGGCCTCGAGTCGTATGAAGGTATCCGGATCCTCCTGGATGGATGCAGCCACCTCGGCTCCGATCCCTGCGTTGACCATCGACTCGTGCACCACGATGCACCTACCCGTCTTCCGCACGCTGTTGAGGACGCACTCCTTGTCCCAGGGGAACACCGTCCGCAGGTCGATCAGCTCTACGGAGACGCCCAGGTCCTCTTCCGCCTTCTGGATCGCCGCATTACACGTGTAGAGCGGCTGCCCATACGAGACTATGGTCACATCCTTGCCCTCCTTGAGGACCTCAGCCTTGGACAGCGGCAGGGTGTATGGGCGAGTCGGGACCTGCTCGACCGCCGCCCTGTACAGGACCTTGGGTTCCATGAAGACGCACGGGTCGTTGCTTCGGATGGCAGACAGCAGGAGGCCCTTGGCCTGCAAGGGGGATCTCGGCACTATCACTCTAAGGCCGGGGATGTGGGTGAAGAGGCTCTCGGGCGACTGCGAATGGTACAGCGCCCCGTGGCCCACCGCGCCGCACGGCATCCTCACCGTCAGGCCGCCCACGCTCCTCCCCGTCCTCCCTTCGCGATATCTGTACTTGGCGGCCTCGTTGACTAATTGGTCGAAAGCAGGATAGACATAGTCGGCAAATTGGATCTCGGCTATCGGCCGCATGCCCTCGGCGGCCAGCCCGACGGCGAATCCCATGATGCCCTGTTCCGTCAGGGGCGTATTAAAGACGCGAGCTTCGCCGAAATTCTCCGCCAGCTTCATGGTGCAGCGGAACACCCCGCCAAAGGCGACGTCCTCGCCGAACACCAAGGCGTTCTCGTCCTCGGCAAGAGCGGTCGACAAGGCATCGTTTATAGCCTGGAACAGGTTCATGCGCTTCGCCGTCCCGTTCCTGGCCTCGGGCGGCAGCTCGGGATGGCCAAGGGCTACTTGCGAGCTGTGGGCTAATAGCGGCGCGGTCGAGTAGTCGACCGGTAGGTTGAGTCGCGCATTCGGCGGGTGCGTCGAGTAGGCCCGGGGCAGCGATGCCCGCGAGTCCCAACGTCTTGGTCTACATGAGGTTCTCACGGGGATGGGCCCCCGCGCAAGCCGAAGCGGGACGGAGGGCTTCATGGTCGAATGCTGGCAGTTCTAGGTAAGAATTACAGATCTCTAGCTGCTACCTGCGTAGATTCATGTCTGGCTATGGATGGACGGCGGCAGCACGGTCGACCTGGGCTTGCACGAGGGAGGAGAAGGGGAAGCAGAAGGAGAAGCGGTAGGTAAGTACGACTGGAAGCTGGCGGGATCGACCAACGTTCTATCAAAACAGTCGAGGTCCAGTATGACAGGAGAGTCGCTTACCTGCGGCATTCGGCTTGCGAAGGGAATACAACCATACCTACTCATAGAAGTACCCTCACCCCTGCCCCTAGTGCCCGTAGTAAGAGTACACTGGGCTAGGAGGGAGTATACCTCCAAGCGAAAGCAGGTACCTGAGGTAGGTTCACCTGAGAGGTACCTCCTAGTCCGGACAGGATGACGGTCGTTGGGGATATGCCCATAAATACATACAGGTACATCAGGAGGTACCGGACCCGATGCATTTGCATACAACCTTGCCGTTGAACGTCGCGTTCTCGGTGTGTCTCCAGGTGCCCAACTCCCGCATCTGCCTGGCTTCAGGTACCTGGTATCTGTACACGTAGGTGCCTCCAATTGCGTACATGGGTACATGAGTACACGAAGGTATCCATAGCACCTGTACAAAGGTACCTGAGGCATGTACCCTGGCCCCGCGCCTTCCCCGCCCTGCCTGGCCGGTCCGGGCTTAGCGTGGCGCTGCCGATTCGTCGGGATCGGCATTCGACGCTGATTGGGAGAGAGCTGGTTGCCCGGTCAACACTAGTAGCGGTGTTCCTCGCTGTCCCCTTGCAACCCTCATCGTGCACTTTTCTGCGTCTGTCTGCAAATTGACGGCGCGGTCAGTCGACTCCTCCTCAGACGACGCATTAACCGACGATCTACATACCGCAGGACTACCCATGTAGATTCCTTCCCCAGACAGCTTATCCAGCTACCTGCATGCTCTTCCATCGCCCTCTCAGCACTCCTTCGGTGCTTATGAATGCATCGTCACATACGTGCATACTGATACGAATTCGGAGCATCGAGCACCCCCCTTCGCATCGTGCACGATGGCACACGGCGACTCGGATACAGACCACCGCAGACGCCGAAGTAGGGACCCCGAAGCACACCATAGACGACACAGGAAGAGGAGACACAGCAAGCATGGCACCGGCGAACCCACATCTGCCCCGGAAGCATCTTCGCAAGGCACGGGCCAGAGGTTGTCCATGGGCGCCCTTGCGCAATTGAACGAACACAACGCCCGGGGCATCTCCCAAGAACCACCCAAAGAACCGGAACGGAGGCCAAAGCGAGACCGGCTGCGGCGGGAGTCGTACCGCGTCGTCGATGCCGAGTACGATCCGCCCAGGAGGGAGCGGCGCCGGAGAGACAACGATTACGAGCAATCGGGAGGGGAAAACGACCGGTCGAGGAGAGAACGTCGGCGCAAGGAGGAGTACCGGGAAGAAGGCGGATACGAATCGCGGGAGCGGGACTGGGACCAGGAACGAGACCGTCGCCGCCGCCGACGAGCAGCCAACGCAGAATCGGGGGACGAAGTTGAGGATAGGCCCCGAGAGAGAGAATCGAGATCCCGCAAGAAAGATCGGAGGGTGGTCAGCGGTGCCGTCGCCGAGGAAGGCAGGGCGATTCCGGGCATACGCGGCGGCGGCGCGAGAAAGCACGACAGCTACGACAGCTACGACAGTATATCGAACGAGAAGTCGGCCGTGGTCGACTACAAACCCGTGTGGTACCGGAAAAAGAAGAGGTGTAAGTCCCCATAAGCATCGCGATATCGCACAGGGGGCCACGGCTTAACTAACGATCGCTGGCGGACGTGCAGGGATCGTGGCCGGCGTCGCGCTCGGCGTGCTCATCATCGTCATCGTGGTGGCCGTTGTCGTGAGCAAGAAGAATGCGGCGGCGGCGGCGGGAGGACGCAACAGGTCCGGGCTGCAGGACGTCTCGCAGGACAGCATCCCGGCCGCGGCCAAGGGCACGTACCTCGACCCGTTCACGTGGTACGACACGACCGACTTCAACGTGACCTACACGAACGAGACCGTCGGCGACCTGCCCGTGATGGGCCTCTTCTCCGACTGGGACGACGCGGTGGCGGCCAACGACAAGGTGCCGGCGCTCGACGAGGACTGGGGCGACTACGCGGCGCGGCCGGCGCGCGGCGTCAACCTCGGCGGCTGGCTCTCGCTCGAGCCCTTCATCACGCCGTCGCTGTTCGCGTACGACGCGCGGCTCGGCATCGTCGACGAGGCGTCGCTGTGCCGCCACCTCGGCCCCAAGACGGCCGCGGCGACGCTCGAGCAGCACTACGCCACCTTCGTGACCGAGCAGACCTTCGCCGACATCCGCGCCGCCGGGCTCGACCACGTCCGCATCCCCTACAGCTACTGGGCCGTCGAGACCTACGGCGACGACCCCTTCGTCTTCCGCACCTCGTGGCGCTACCTCCTGCGCGCCATCGAGTGGTCCCGCCGCCACGGCCTGCGCGTCAACCTCGACCTGCACGCGCTGCCCGGCAGCCAGAACGGCTGGAACCACAGCGGCCGCCAGGGCCCCGTCGGCTGGCTCAACGGCACCGACGGCGCGCTCAACGCGCGCCGCTCGCTCGACGTGCACGACCGGCTGACGCGGTTCTTCGCGCAGCCGCGGTACCGGCGCGTCGTCGCCTTCTACGGGCTCGCCAACGAGCCGCGCATGGTGTCGCTGTCGGCGGACGCGGTGGAGGCGTGGACGGCGGACGCGTACGACCTGGCGCGGCGCAACGGGCTCGCGGACGCGCACGTCGTCTTCGGCGACGGCTTCATGGGGTTGGCCAACTGGCAGGGCAAGCTGGCGGGGCGCGCCGGGCTCGTGCTCGACGTGCACCAGTACGTCATCTTCAACAACGACCAGATCGTCTTCCCGCACCGCGACAAGGTCCGCTACGCCTGCGCCGGCTGGTCCGAGCAGACCCGCCTCAGCATGGACCCCGCCACCGGCTTCGGCCCCACCATGTTCGCCGAGTGGTCCCAGGCCGACACCGACTGCGCCCGCCACCTCACCAACGTCGGCTGGGGCAACCGCTGGACCGGCACCTACGCCTCCGGCAACGCGTCCACCGAGGCCCTCACCCCCAAGTGCCCCGCGCGCGACGCCTCGTGCAGCTGCGCCGAGGCCAACGCCGACCCCAGCGCGTACAGCGACGAGTACCGCCGCTTCCTCAAGATGTTCGCCGAGGCCCAGATGGTCTCCTTCGAGAAGGGCTGGGGCTGGTGGTACTGGACCTGGGACACCGAGGACGCGCCCCAGTGGAGCTACAAGAAGGGCCTCGCGGCCGGCATCCTGCCCGCCAAGGCCTACGACAAGGACTTCAACTGCGACAGCGAGGTGCCCGACTTCGCCGGCCTCAGCGAGACGTTCTGACCACTCCCTCCTCCTCCTCCCTCCCCCTCTCTCTCTCCTCCCCCCCCCCCCCCCCCTGCCTCCCCACCCTCTCTCTCTTGCTCCTCCCCTCCCCTTCATCTCGAGAGGGTGGGTTGGGTCGCCCTCTCGCGTCTTTCTGGCGCCCGCCCACCTACATATTCCGGTCGCCGACGCGCCGATATTGCCGTCTATCTCTCCACTGCGGTGCCCTCTTCCGGTTGGGATCGGTGCAGGGTGTGGTGACGGGATGCAAAGGGGGGGTAAGGAAAGGGGAGAAGAGGCGCACTGGAACTCGGACGTGGGGGGCTCACTCCGCACGCACATCCGCATACACATACGCGCACACACATACCTACCTACCCACCCCTTACCTACTTACCAACCTACCTACCTACCTACATACCTCCATACATATGTAGGCTCTCGAATTTGCTTTTGCGAGGGCAACGTTGTTTGCATATACATACATGTTTATATTTATATACACCTACTCCATTCGGGGGCCCGGTGGAGGTCCCTGGGGTCCCTTCTCAGGCGCGCGTCGGAAACGTCGGCAGACGGGTCGGTAGACGATGGAGGGAGGGGGGCACGCTTCATGCATTACATATGCGAGAGGAGGCTTATATACAGATTTGCGGGTGTGTTCAATATGTTTCACGCTAAGGAGGGCAACGGAGTATTGGCGATGGCCGTCGTCGTAAACGAGTGCGTACGGATGCGAATATGCACGGGAGCTCATATATGTAATGTACTATGCAGGTAGGGACGAGATGCCTCATGCAATAGAAGATGCACATATAGTTCCTCTCGCGTCGGCCCTTGATCTCTGATGATACCGTATCTAACATGCCATGTCCGCATCATACCATCCATCGCCCTTCAGCATTAATTCTCACGTACGGCGCGTTACCCGCGCGTGCCGAGCCCAATATCAGCCCTAACGGCCTTCCCGTGGAGGCTCTGCTCGTCGAAACCGGCGAATCGACGCGAGAAAACCCGTAGCATCTAAATAGAAGTTTCTGCAGGTTACGTGGTATCGGCCAAGAATGTTACCCAGATATATGTACGTGGCCCATCAAGCGGTAAAGATCTCCCCCGTGGCGTCCAACTCGTGAGCTGGGGTGTTACCCCCCTTACCTCCTGCGCAGTCTTCGCAGTAACTGCAGATTACCTACAGCCATCCATACGGAGAGGTGGGCCCCGGTGATTGCAGGTAGAAAAACTGACGAGGAAACGGTGATTCGTCGCGCGCCAAATCTCCCAAGCCACAGAGTCCCGTTACGGCTGATCGCATTGACGACCTGGTTGCCCTGCCGGTCGATCAGGTCGATCAGACCAGGACAGCAGAGGAGAAGGAGGGTGGCATGGAGCCTCTATCAGTATCGGTCCTTGGGGATGTCGGGGGACGGTATGATGCGGCGAATGGACGCACACCACACATGCGTCTGGTGGGAAGCTGATGGATGGGGATAGGGTGAGGCTGAAGACCGGTCGGTGAAAGACAGGGAGCGCTGCGGGCTAGGACCAACACCCCCGCCGACGATTTTCCTCGACAACCCACGAATAATCAAGAGGGAGCGTTAAAGCCGACACGGGAGTGGTTCGATCGGCTGGCTGGCTGAACATTCGGTCGTATCTAGGCCGCCGTTTAGCGCTTCCTTTACGACCTCGTTCGAGGCTACGACCCACGCCTTCGTGTTCTACCTCGAAGCTTACACGCCCGATTTTTATGACGGCTGTGTCGCTATCCGGGATTCAGCTCGGCATTTAGATCTAGCCACGATCACGATCTTATAGCACTCGTGAGAGAGCTGCGCGTAGTACAGTTTACACCCGTCGCGAGGAGGCGAGCGCACACAGCACCCGTCCAGATGGCTACATCGAGGCTATATGGACTCGCAAAGCGCGGCTCGCAAGTCGGTTTTCTCCCTGGATGGATTCGCACCTCCGTGGGACGTACGTGGGGCGGGCCAGCGAGCAGTTGGGAGGACATTGCTAAATTGATACCGGAACACCGGGGATTGAGCAACGGGAACTAACGCAAGGCGTGATTCATGCTTCTATGTGCGCTGTGCTCTCGCGCCCGCCGATGGGCAAGTCTCATTCCCAGACAACCACCAGGTCGAGCAGGCCCGGTAGCTGGCAAGTCTCAGTAGGGGGGGCGTGGAGCTTGGGTGCAGAGGACCTGCACTAGCGCAGTCCGCTTCTGCGGCCGCGGGGAGGATTTCGTAGCTGAGCCATGCCCTGGTAATAATTATGCCGAACGAAGGACGCCGAGAATTACAGCAAGGCCGTCCAAACCCCAGTGGCTGTTGTCACAGTCGGCAATGGCACCTGACCTCCTCAGCAGGCCTGTTTCTGCGACGGGCCCTCGACCTCGTCTCCAAGTCCTGACCGTGTCCCTCCTCGCCGTCCCGGGTGCGAGCGATCGATGTCAAGCGCCACCTCGTTACTTCGATGATGTCAGGTTGGACGGTGAATCCGGCCATTCGATGCTCCGTATTTGCGAACGAAGCGCCACCATATAACGGGCGGATGCCTCTGCCCGAATGCGCTGGCCGCAGAACGACAGCAATCCCCCCCCTTCTTCGTCAACCCCCCTTCCCACTTTGTCGGGTCCGGCGACACGGTAGCTGATTGGCGGCTTCATAGACCGGCTGGTTGCGTTCGACCACTTGGCGACGCGAGCATAGATTAACTGCTGGGGATTCAAGCGACACCTTTGTAACCACGTATCCAAGTATCAATATATGCCCACAACCGACACACGAGAGCCAATGAGTAGTATATCCTCCCAAGCAATCCATATACCATTCACCTTAAGCGAGTCCATGGTAACTTGCTTGAAGCTCCGTCTCATGTTTAGTTGGGTGCAATCGCGTCACGTATAAACCTGGGTATCTGTGAGACTTGCCCGCTCGGCCCACGGCCGTCGTCGATGGCAACGTAGGTTCTACCCTGGGCGAGGAGCAGAGCTAGCCAGTACATGAGAAGAGTGCGAGCGCTTTCGAGATGATAAGAGAGCCCACCTGTTCGGAAGTCCGACCCTTTCCCTAAGGGGCCGGGGCCAAGCATCCCCTCCCCCCTCCCTCCCCCCTCCTCCCCGGCCCCTACTTTCGAAGACATATGGCCCTTCGTCGTGAAACGAGATCCGGATTCCTATTTCCAAACAAGTCTGAGGATTTGCATCGCCTGTACACCGATCTCAGCAGCCGTCAGAGAAATAAGATCCCAAGGATGTGGTCTAGAAATCCTGCAGTTTGGCGTTGCCCCCGTGATGTCGATTGCCGGGCATAGGATTGCGGTATAAAAACGGGGAGGACTCGCCGGTTCGACAAACACAGGCCATGTAACCAGGGAGCTCGTCGAAGGCGGTTTGTAATCGCTTTGTCAGGGCCCTATGGAATACTGTGATCTTGCATATCCGAAGGTCTCTCCCTTTCTTCTCTGGCGAGCTAGAGCTTCGTGCGACCGGGGAAGCGTGAACTGTAGGTCATCTCATCGTAAGGAACGCGACCCTCGTGTGCGGAATGCCTCGAACCGTGACATCATGCGCGATGGTACCACGGCGGACAACCACGGTGCGAAAGTACATACCTACGGCAGGCATCCACGGATTCCAGCTGGCAGTATCTGGGATGACTGACGCTGCCTTGAACCGGAGGACTGCATTCGGAGGAGCGTTTCCTAACGTCGTACTAAGCTTGCTTGTAACCGTTCAGCTAGCCCAAAAAGAAGGCGACGTTCTCAGCAACTGGAGTGGTGTTGTTTGGGCGCGGCGCCAGGCCCCGTTGCGCTCGCCAGCACATGGCTCCGAGACGACACCATAGCCACTTGAGCCGCGACTCTTGGCTCTATTCTGACCCCTCTCCACCCTCGCGCTGCCACCCGACTCGTAGCAGAGTATACAGTTCGAGGCACGTAGAGTGGTATGCAGCGGGGACACGTGAGGATGGATGTAGGGATGGGCCGGCTCACAACGAACCATCCTAGACCACTTAGAATGTCTCGCATCTCGAGCTCAAGCACCACTAGCCTATACTATTACATGTAGCTCCAGAGGATTGACCTGCTGTGCCGCCCCACATCAGTTGGCCGAAAGCGAGACCGATGTGTTCTGCGACACCCTGTAGGCAAAGTAGGGCCGGCGGTAAGAAAGGGGACGCGAGTACACCTAGCCGGAGGCTGCATCTCTAATATCCACGACGGCGATACAGGAAAATAGCATTCGATGAGGTTGCATGCCGTAGTAATAGTGCCTGGGTAGCGCACTAATTCATGCAATGTCGCGCATTGCAGCAGCAGCGGCGGACGGTCGGCGCCGTGAGCGGCACCTCGTTGGCTAAGTGACCTTCAGGTAGAGAGAGACTTTGCCATCGTGAGTGGGCGAGGCAGCACGGGCGTGGACGAAGGCGGACCGGCCACCAGAGCTAGTCAACCTACCTACCCCGATCGTAAGCAAGCCCATCTCCATAGACGGTGACAAGTATCAGCACTGTAACCTGGGGCAGTGCGTCCTATCAATACACATTTACATGCAACTGTCGGTGTTAGTGGCGAGGAGGCAATGGAATGTCGGATGTGGTCTCTCATGGGTCACACTAATATAAGAGCGATCGCTGATGATTGCCTCTGGGAGCAGTCGATAGCATGGCGAAGAGACGAAGAGTGCCTGTCGTAACCCAGGATGCCCAGGCAGGCCGGAGAATTCGGGAAGGCTGGCGATAGGAGCATGCAGACGTTTCGGCAGACCAGGTGGACGAAGGACGTCTGGAGTAGATGGATTCGAGATCAACACGGCAACCTGCCTATTCCATGCAGCGGTTCTGGCGATGGCTGAGACGAGAGGGTGGCATAGCGTCGCGTCTGCGTAGGATGGAGACGAGTCTATATGCAGCAGCAATTCATCCATCGATTCCCGCGGGCTGTGAGTAGTGACGCGTCGAGAGAAGCTTTCGCCGAGACCATGATTGGACACGCACAAATTTGACTGCAGGTTGCATGCGGCATGTTGTAGGCGGCCCCCCCGTGGCGACGATGGCAGGGCAACTCTTCGGCATAGCGGTTGGCCCTCTCGCCAGTCAGTTTCGGCAGAACAGACACGGAGGCGACGATTCGACGGCGACGAGTCGGTAAGTCCCTGGGCCGATCCAGCCACCTCAGGCGACGCGCACACAGGCGAGAGGTTAAAGAAGGGCCGCCATTCGGCTCGACTGGCGTGGTGTCTGCAGAGCCTGTCGCCATTGGACATGACAGCTTACTTCGCTAATGCGGCATCGTCACTGAGAAAAAGCCGCCTGCGAGCGCAATTGGGAGCGCGAGAGGACCAGCAGCGGCGTCGGCGTGCTCACCTACTAGAAATGGAAGCAGAGAGGCATGGGAGCCGTCGGTCGGCAGTCCATGTCGAAGCAACCTGACGAATGACGAAGACAGGAGGGGGGGGAGGCCCCAGCAGGACCGGTAGAGGGAGTAACCTAGGTACGTAGAAGCCAGGTAGGTACTTACCTAGATATCTATGTACAATATGTACATCATACAGATACAGGGTCTGATTTTCGTAGAATGTGGGATATACCTACCTGTATGGACTGCGCACTGTTACACTGTGCTCTGGCGCCATGCGGCCAGCCACGGGGCATGGGACATTCCAGGAGACCGAAGGTGGGGGGGCAGCCCTACCCTAGGCATAGGTAGGTACCTACCTAGGCACCTATGCACCGTGTACATGTGTACATACCCAGATACTTGCTTACCTTGAGAGGTACCTACCTCCCATCGCGAGGAAAAACCAGGGTAGGTAGGTATGTAGGTAATAGGTAACCCTCTCCTTCCTCGCTCCCAACACGAATACATTACATACGTCAGCTACATGCATACATCTATCTCACTCACACCTTCCCGCGCCCACGTTATTGGTCTCTAGATACAACTGCCTACCTCTGCTTAGGTACCCAGATACCGAGCCTTATACCTGCCTCCTTCTATCTACTCTGGTACCTGCTGCCTAGCGTCGCATGGAGGCGGAAGGCAGGTACGATCTGTTCCTTTCCTTACTGCCAAAGTAGGTATCAAGTTCCATCCCACGCACTCCTCAGCTACTGCAAGAGATAACTTCCGGTGCTTGCCCACCTACCTACCTACCTGGTAGCTACCTCCTAAGACACTCGGAGTCCTACGTGGTACGTAACTACGCACACTTACCTTGGGTAAAATTAGCTAAGAGGCTAATCCCGCCAAGGCAAATCGGACCAGATGACGGCAGCCCCAGGCCAGTACGCACAAACTTACCTCAATAGTGGGGGAGATGTCGAAACATTACTAAAAAGGGCTCGCCGCGGGTATCTTGGTATCTTGGTATATCGACATCGCCAGGACTGTCTGGGGGCTTTGATAGGGCGGACGGGATGCTGTGTCGACGTTCTTCCGGCTGCTAGAGGTTACTAATCCGCGGTTGTATGGCAACCTGAATTGATGTCCTTGGCTCTCTCCTTGGCGTCTGCTGGCCCGTGCCTGAATGGCTGATTCGCAGCGGTGGGGCGTCGGTGGTGCATGGCCCTTTCTCCTTTGCGGTTTAGACGCTGGCGAGCTCTAACTGCGCCTTTCCCTTCTGGGTAAGTCTTAGCCTGGTCTGCTGGAGAGGCCCACCTTTACCGCATTGGCCGTTTATCGGGCTGCGATTGGCCCCAAGCCCGGCCCCTATGCAGCAAAGAGAGCTCATGAAGCAAAGAGAAGCGACGGGAGGGAGAATGGACAAAAAGAAGGGAGAAGAAATAATAAGAATAAAACGTGCGAGAAAACGAGACGAGAGGGGCAGAAAAAAAGACAAAAAAAAGAAAATAAAAGAGACCGAAAATCCTCCAAGAAAAAAAAATCCGCAAAAAGGAAATACTCAGAGGCCTAAATAATATCAAAGGAACGCAGAAGCAGAGGGCGCGCTTTACCATAGTTCTGTCAACCTTACCTTTCGTCCATCCATCCACTTTTCCTTAGGAACCCCGCAATTCGGTTATAGGATCAGAGGGACAATTTTGGGCAATTGCCAGTAATTCGAGAATCCGGGAAGCCACCGTCCAATTGGGCTATCGCATTTCCCTTCCTCCTGCTCGGTTCACCACTCGACCGACCAAATATCGTCAACTTTTTTTTTTTTTTCTTTCCCTTCCTGGTTGCCCGCCTCCCGCGACGAACAGCTCCCCCTCTGACTCGGATCCGTCTAATCCAACCTACCTTTCCGCCACCTCACCAGTTCCTCGACAGCCTGCGTCATCTATCGTCAAGCCTGCCGACGACGGCGTCTTCCTCCCTCTCTCATCTCGCTACCCAGACCGACGGCCGTTCTCACCAACTTCTTGTCCGTTGCGCCACCGCTGTTTGACTCCCAAACCGATCGGCGCACCCGCCTGGAGCGCAAAACAAGGTGACAACTGACGCCTCTATCGCTGTAGCCGGCCCCAATATTTGACCATTGTAATATTGGCTTCCGCTTCCATTTCTCTCGGCCATATTCTTGGCTCTCATAATTTTGCCTCCCCTTGTCGCTGTCTCGCTATCTCGCGTCCTCGCCGCCTCGGTCAGCCACTTGATGCACCTCTACCAGATCTCCTATGCAGCCAGCGCCATCCTCGATCGTCCTCGCAGCGTCGCGTAGCAGCAATATCGCCTCTAACACGCACTGGACGCATCCATCATACGTTAAGGTAGCTATCTTAGCTGCCCACCTTTCATCATACTTCAATACATACATCCATACATACGTACAATCCAATCTATCTATCTACGTCTATCTACCTTGAGGTATACCTCCTTCTTCTTGCCTGCGTGCCTCCGTACGTACCTGTTACCTAGGTCGCCGATCCTGAATACGATACATCCAGTATTATACGCGCACGCACGCACACATCTACGCGCCACCCACGCCTGGCTCCCACTCACTCTCCCCCCTCCCCCCTCCCCTTTTAGGTACCCTCCTGACATCCGAATCGCCGACGACAAAACGGAACTTTGTGCGCCCCAGTACCAAATGCGAACAGCCCCAGACGTCGCGGGTAGCTGCAGCACCATCGAACATCCCGCATACCATCCCAGCCAGACTCCCCAGTGCCTTATCCGCCGCCGCGTGACCCCATGAGGCAAGACCTGTGTCTCCGCATTGCCCGGCCCGCCGTGATTCCTCTTGCGAGGAAATAACACTCCCCGCGATTTGTACGAACACAGCGGATAGACCCGTTCGACGGGGCCTTGCGACCTCAGTCCCCGTTGCACAAGGAGCGCCTCTTTGTAACGGGGAACGAGCCCATTGGCGTCTTGCCTTGCTCTTTGCACGCTGAATACGAGCGCCTGTCGCTGCGCCGTCCTTGTGCAAGCCTTGGGGGGGTACTGGCCCCCCAGACACAGCTGTCGCACCGCGGCAGCGCACAGCGCCATTGCACCTAAGTCCACATCTCACGGATATTCTTAGCTCGCTGTCGTCTCTTGGTTCTGATATACAGCCTCCCGGCCTGCTTCATTGGCCTGCATACGCTACGTGCTCATCGGTACCGGCCCACCCTCCCACTTGCGATCGGTGCCCGCATCGAAACCTCTTCGAGGGGCGGCGGGAAAGATCGTGTTCGTGGTTGAAATAGGGAATATTGGATCTTTGGAAGGTTCCCCCCTCCTCCCCCCCCCACCTCTTCTCTCCCCCCCGGCCCTAGCGGTTACACTGCCACGGGCGTTCGCAAAATAAGTTACGCAATTTCCCACGGAGGTGTGGTTGCGCTAGACCGACCCCAGGGCTTGCATTGCCATCCCTCGTCTCCGCAGGGCGTGCGAGGTTGACGAGAAGTTGTTATATATACCTAAGACAAGATGCCGGAGGACGTGGAGGCGAACGGGACAGAGGTCTCAGATGCCATGTCTGAGAACGAGAACGAGTACGACGATATGGAACAGCCCATCAAGGACGAAGAGGCCAAGATGGCTGATCAAAACACTTCACCTGAGCCGGGCGCCGAGAACTCGGGAGAGGTGAAGAAGAAGTACGATCCCAAAGACCCCCACCGCCCGAGGAGGAAGAAGGCGAGGCGTGCCTGCTATGCTTGCCAGAGGGCGCATTTGACGTGCGGTATGTTCTACGCTCTTGTTTCTTCTCGGTAGTGCTCTCGGGGTCGTCGCTCGAACTTTTGGCTTTGAGTTAGGCTTGAGAGAAACCTTACGACTAAGCTACAGCATAACCTATAGTTCAGTACCAGTTTACCGGTCATACTGCGAGCTGACTCTAGTTCGGCTAGGTCAACTTTGCTAATTTTCCTCTATAGGCGATGAGCGTCCTTGTCAAAGGTGTATCAAACGCGGCCTCGCCGATGCCTGCCAGGACGGAGTACGGAAAAAGGCCAAGTATCTGCATGACGCTCCCCCAGAAGCCTTGAGGCCCGTTCTGGGACCAACGTACAATCCCGCCGCCCACACGCACGCCAAACAGCAGAACGGGAAACACCTTTCCAACGGGAACTCAGACACCCCAGCGTACTATTCTCATGCGCATAGCCACTCCGCTTTCCCCATGTTCGCCGGGGGCTCTCAGAACCAGATGGCTCCGTTGCCGGACAGCATCTCTTTCGGCGGACAGCAGTCTCCGGTGACGCCCGGCTTTCCGACGCCAAACAATACGAGAGCTGCTCAGATGGGCTCTATGCAAGTCCCTCAAGTGTCTAGCGAGATGCCAAACAATTACTCGCCCGCCTTATTCGACCCGAGCAACCCAGCGATTTTCAACTTTGACCTCGAAGGGTTGAATTTCGGAAGCCATTACGGTGCACTAGAGTTCGGGATGCTGGGCCATATGTCCTCTGGTGCCGCTGAGACTCCGCCCAGGGATCCCGTAACCCAAGCGCCCGGAACCGAGGTCAATTACGGACCGACCGGGGTGTTTCGGAACGGGGTCAATCACTACAACCAGATGTATGAGAACGGCATGGCTGACGGTTTTATGAATGTTGATCCCAGCAATAGCGGGGCATTCCCGGGAAACCTCCAGCATGGGTTGCCTCACGCGTACGCCGTTGCAGCCGCCGGACCGACTCCGAACAGCCTGGCTAGCCCGAGCACGGACAACACGTCCAGCCCCCAGCCTACGGGCTACGGCTTCGACAAGTCGCCGACCACTAGCACGTACACGGTTACCAATTCTCAACCGATAGCTCAGCCTTCGCGGCCGAAACCGAAGCCTGCAAATTCGAACAGCGGCAACAGCACTCGGTTTGGGCCCCCGTCCATCTTGGGAAAACGGCAGCGCGACCCGTCGGCGATCTACGATACCGTCACTGAGCCCTACCCGTACCTCACTGGGTTCCACAACCTCATCGCCTTCGTTCAACGGAGGTTCTCTGCGAATAAGACATTACGAATCGCCAAGTCCCTCGCCAGCATCCGGCCCTCGTTCATCGCTTGTACGCGGAACCTCAACAGGCAAGACCTCATCTTCATGGAGAAGTGCCTGCAGCGGACGCTCTTCGAGTACGAGGATTTCATGGGACACTGCTCGGCGCCTACTATCGTATGCCGTAGGACGGGGGAGGTGGCGGCCGTGAATAAAGAATTCATCGCGCTCACCGGGTGGACCAAGAATATTCTGTTGGGTAAGGAGCCCAATATGAATGTCAATACCGGTCGGTCGCCGGGGTCCGAGGCAAGTAACCACGGCAGCACAAGCAAACCCGATTTCGTAACCCCACGGCTGAAGATGGTCCAGCCGGACATAGGTAAAGCTGCGGAAGGGAAACCCCGACCGGCCTTCGTGGCCGAATTCATGGACGACGAGAGCGTCATTCAGTTCTACGAGGACTTCGCGCAGCTCGCCTTCGGCGACAGCCGCGGCCACGTCACGAGGAAGTGCCGCCTCCTCAAATACCGAACCAAGGAGATGAGTGAGGCTCTGAGCAACGATGAATCTCCCAAAGACCGGCGGAACAGCAGCATCCTTAGCAACAGGGTGACTAGGATAGATGGCGAGCACGGGATATCCAAGCTCGAGAAGGATGGTAAGATCGACTGCACGTTCTGCTGGACGATCAAGCGCGACGTATTCGACATACCGATGTTGATTGTTATGAATGTAAGTCGGCGGTTCCGACAGGCGCCCGCTCCAGTCTCTAATCTCGCGCAGTTCCTACCTTGTTATTACCGCAACCAAGACCAACTGGCTGTTTAGGGATGGTCGGGTCTACGGACGAGCACCGCGGGGGGTGGTGCATGCGTGTTTCTGGTTTAGCTTTGTGTCTCGATCCGCTTCTCAGGCTTACCTATCAACTACATTTTTCCTCTCGGGTGTAATAGAGAGAGCATGGGCGGCGTTTTTGGAACAGAGCTCGCATTTGTGAGTTCCTCTCCCGCTCGACGGGAGCTGGTCATGTTGCATGTGACCCCGGGCACATATATAATATACACGTATAAGGGGGATAGACACGGTATAGAACGTCGGCCTGCACGGGGTTTACGGTCGGATACCCATGAATTTCACACGTAATATCTTCTGAGCTTTCTCGTGTCGCCTTTTCGTTCTCGGCGTCCACATATCTATCTATCCTGACCTACGTCTTACGAGGTACCGATGCATTGAACGCCTGCCGAGCGAGCGCCCCCTCGCGCATAGCTACCCAATTCTAGAGCGACGCCTTTCCGCCCCGTCTGACACACCTGTAATCTCACGGGGAGCTAGACGTGTTGCATGTGAACGAACGAATCCGCCTCTCCTGTTCTAGGCCTCTCGTATCTTCCACCCTCAGCACCAGCCACGCACGTCATACCACATCTATATATATATGCAGGAGGTTGCGCCGCGCATAGCCTACGACGCATCGGAAAGCCGTCGGAACCGCAGCGGTTCTCGCGCCGGCGGCCCCGCTAGTCCCTGACGAGCCAGGAGCCGTCGAAGGTGCCGACGACGCCGGGGGCGCCGCCGACGGCGCCCTCGCGGGGGGACCAGGCGGGGCGGGCGAGGCTCTGGCGGGCGACGTCGCAGTCGACGTTGATGTCGCGGACGAGGGCGTCGAGGGAGGCGTAGTCGCGCTCGTCGCGGACGAAGCCGAGGAGGAGGAGGCGCAGCGGGGCGCCGTAGAAGTCGGCGGCGAAGGCGTGCAGCACGTGGACCTCGGCGCTGCGGACCGCGTTCTTGTAGAACGGATTGTAGCCGATGGACATGACCATGGGGTAGATCTGCCAGGCGGTGCCAGGCGGGGGCGGCGGCGGGGGCGACGGCGGGGCGACGGTGGGGCTCACGCGCCCGGACGGAGAAGACTCGTCCTCCTCGCGCACCGCGGCGGCGGCCCGCGGCGACGCCGGCCGGTCCGGGTGCCCCGCGGGCAGCGCGACAGCCGCGTACCCAAAGTACACGCCCGACTTGGCGCTCGCGATCCACGGCGTCGCGCCCGCGTCCACCGGCAGGTTCGCCGTCGGGATGCCGAGCTCCTTCGACCCGCGCCCGAAGCCCGCGATCACGACGCCCTCCATGCACAGCGGGTACGGCGGCTCCGGCCCCGCGTCCGAGTACAGGATGCGCGGGCGCGACGCCGACGCGTCGGCGGCCATGGGGCGCTGGCGTTAGGGGTGCGGCGGGGAGAGGGAGGGGGGGGGGGGGCTAAGGGCGAGGGGTGAGAAAGCGAGAGCGGTCCTGATGGTTCCGCCGCCGATGGGGAGGGGGGTGGGGGGGCGTGGAAGCCTCGCTCAGATGTTCGAGAGGTTCCCGCTGGCTGGCGTTGTCCGCGCTGGGCCCTGGCGCAAGCGCGGCGATCACTTAGGTCTCCGTCCCGGATGTCTCGCCAGCGACGGCGGGGCGGTTTGCCTGGGGCACGGCGGCGGCTGCGTTGTTTAACTGCGCAGCGACTTCGGCGACAAGGGCGCGAGAGGGCGCAGGTGGATTGGATAGGTAGGCAGGCGTGTCTACCACACAGACCGTATGGACGAGCCGTAAGTAGGTGTGTGTCTATTTAAACGGTATTATAATTAGTACTTTGGGGATCCGGTAGGTTCGCGGCGGGTGTGTGAGCGAGGTGTCGCGAGTGCGCGTAGACGGTGAGTTGCTTTGGTTAAGGGGGGGCTGACGGGACCCGGTGTTGGTGGCCCTGGATGCTGGTGGAACTCAGATGACTCCCCGCTACGGCGGGGGATGGGGAGCGCCGATAAGATTAGATAAGCATACCTAAGTAAGCAGGTAGATACCTTATCGATTGCCGTCTTATCGATGCTCGCAAGCAGGTACCGAACTTACCTACATCTTGGACATCTCGCCCTGCGCAGTGATGGTAGAGTTATAGGTATTGCTGTCGTTTTCGGACTTGTTGGTTTCTCTAGCTGCGGGACGTGGACGTCTCGGGTGTATCGCAAGAACGAAACGGTAGCACGATCCCCCTTATCAGCTTCTGCTCATTAGCTCTGAGTCCGCAGATCATCTGCATGGCACATCCCGCCCGCGACGGTCAGTAATACCTGGCTCTGCCGTTCAGGCCCCAAACCCGGGCTGTCTGTCTGTCCTCCTCGAACCCTGGACACTCTCCCACCCACAGTGCTGGCCTACCCCGGTGTGCAGCTGCACTGCCCTTTCGGACATCCTCCCCGGCCTTCATTGGTCGGATATTCCCAACAACCCTGGAGTAAAATAGGTAGGTAGGTATTATTTATCCCTTCCAACCTTATCGCCATTTCTGGGGGGGTGGCCCCAAAGGAGACGGTAAAGACCTACCTACCTAGGTCCCGTTCTTCACCTCTTCCGCCCGGCACAGCTTTGCGGAGCCTGCGAGGTGCGCACCGCCTCGTCGAACGCGGATAGCTATCTGCGCAGAGGGATAACGGTGTTGGAAAACAATGGTGCTTGCCGAAGTATCACAGTTGTCAGACAGGTAGGTCTCTGGGAACGTACTTCCCTACACAATTCCCTATGTTACACAGGGCCACAAGCATATATGTATAAGCCGACACTTCTGCGTGCTCAGGCGATGCACGAAGTCCGGTAAAGTAAGCTTGTCTGGTAAGAGAGCTTACCACGGCATCCCTGGTTTATTATACACACGTGGTACTTTCGGGCACCGCCATGCCTCGTCATTCAGTCCCGAATCGTAAGGAGAAGAAGGGTTTTCCGCCTACAACCCGTCCTTGACCTCCTTGATCCGGCCACACTCTACAGTTGCACATTTAAAGTCGACATAACCCAAATGATACTGCCCCAAAACCCTAGATGCTTACCCTTCGTGGCGGGTGGTCTAAATAGGATATTCTCACTAGCTACGTACGCCCTACCCAGCAAAGTTTCTATTCTCTTCGGCGTTTTAACTTCCGTAACAAGTCCCCAATGAAACTATCACGTTGGATTTAGTTCCAGTATCTTCCAGAATAACAAGCACTTGAGTGTGATACCCGCTAAACGCGGAGTCCCCTCGACTCTTCCCCGCAAGGGAATGCCGCACAGGGTTTGTATAAAACACGACAGCTACAATACACTTGTCCCTCGCTCGGCCCTCCAACCCCGAGATTATTAAGCTCAGGCCATGGAAAGAAAAGTAATCTCTATTAGCTCGACCCCGAAATACCGAACGAGGTTCGCAGTGTCGGCACGACTTCAAGCCTCTTAATTATATAGAAACATCGCTGCCTGCCGCTGCAGTTCACCTCTCCCCTTCGTTACGGGTAACGCTAATTATTCTGAGGTATCTTCATATTCTTGATGTGCCGCCGTTAGCTCCGTTCAAAAAGACTCCACGAAGACGCGTAAGCAAATAATACCTAGTTCATAAAAAATTTCTGTGCCTGCCGTAGTCATCGCTCCACCAAAACCATGTATACAACTAGCCAAAACGAATGTGTCAAGAGGGTATTATATATCGATACCCAGTCCACGCCACATTATCCTCGGGTTTCCTAAACCATCAAAGGGCAACTTAGCCCGGTTCCTGCCCTTCGGTGCATGTGTACGCGATATACCTAGTTAGCCAGGTATGCTAACATTGACAAAGCGATGCTCGTCGTGTAACCCCTTAACTAGCCGCCTTACCAGCCCGTCATACTAGTGTAAGCCCGCAAGTCCGACCTCGCGCTGCTTTAAAACCCGGCGCGAGTCGAATCGGCTTAGCTTCGGTTGATGTTTACCTACATGCTGCCCAACCCGGCCCACCTTGGCGGCCCAGTTCCGCGGTCGAGCGGCGACCCAGAAACATGGAACGCAACGGATATTACCCATTGGTTACCTGCCTGTCAAGGGGACCGACCGTTTCGGTGCTTCGGGAATTCCCCTGGGGATATAGGTACGCCATTTGCTGAAGTCACCTGATTCTACGTTACCGCGTGATCGATACCCGACAGATGACTTCACCTAGAGCGCTTGATTTAAGGGGCGCCGTGCTGTCCGGAAAACAAAAAAAGGGCAGCTGAAGGCAGACTAGAAATATCTAGGTGCCGGAGAAGGTGGCTAACAGTTAGGTATTTGGCGAGCAAGCTGTATTCCTTGCAAATTGCCCAGCCGATGGCGATGTCGACGCCCGCCTCTCTTTCTACCTCCTCTTGCCTCTTTGTTCGGTAGCGTGAGGGGGGGTGTATTTCTGGTAGTCTCGCATTAGCAGTCGGCGCTACGTAAGTGCTACGCCTAATACTGCCTTGATTGAACCACATCGGAGTTTCCGAAAGAGGCGAGAGGGCGATATGATGTTGATTTCTAATTAAGCAGACCAATATTTGACATCTCGCTTGCCTGTACTGGTTCACGAAAGTATTCTCGGTTTAATATATAGTTGTTCTCTCAGGCGCCCCTGGCTGGCGAAAGAACGTTGGGAGTACGTTATATAGTCCGGTCCCTGTTAGTAGGGCAGTAACGTACCTATGTTATTAGGATAACTAGACGCATTGCGGAGGTTCATGGTCAGTGTTTTCGACCCTCTACAACCGATGTCCCCCGCCGTACGGACACCGTCTCCTAAGTCTTCCCCTCTCCTCCCCAAGATGGCGACGCAGCCGCCCTTTGATATTGGTATCAGTGTCTCTCGGGAGCTCTCTCTCTCTAGGTATCTAGACCACAGGTGAGAGACTGCTTGCTCGCTGCGTCAAGTCCTCGGATCCACACGTTCCCACTCCCCCTTTTGCCGATAATAGAGCATCCCCTTGCCGGCACCCCTGTTTTTTTCTCTCTCTAGGCACACCGCCCCCATACACTAAGTCCCGGGTCTCGGTTGACCAGATTTGGTAATGCGAATACCAACCACCATCATCGCCCTCGTCCCGCTGAACTATGAGGCCCACGTGCATCCTGCGTAGATTCTAGTCCACGTCGATTATACGGGAACAGACACACACTCGAGTTAGAACGTGGGGGGAAGGCTGGAGAAAACGCGTCATCTCACTGACCCCCAAAGTCAATAGCGTTCTACCCCAACATCCGTGGGCCTTGCCGAGGAGCCCCCGAAGAACACAGGGCATTGGAGATTGTGTGGAATTCCTTCTTTACCTGTATAGTAAACAAAGTGAGTGAGGGCATCTCGGTGCGATCGTGCGGATACGAGAGAGTTGGCGAACACGGCATCCGGTGGAATGGTCTTTCTAATTCATAACATAAGCAAGAGGGGGAGAGGGGGGGAGACGCGGTATCAGATCATCTCTGCTCGTAGGTATATTTCACGTACGATGTGCGATATCCATAGAAGGGAGCTATTCGCTACAGGCTCAACGTACCTGTCGGACGTAAGATTCTTTCAGCTAGAGACGGGGCTAACTGAATGATTCCACGCCGTTTTCGGGAGAGGGCTACCGTCGCCAAGGCAGGCCAGGAGCTCACCAGGCCGAACCGACACGGCGCGCTAGAATGGATTTTCTGCCTAGAGTGCCGCACGAAGGAAGGAGACCCGGTTTAGATGAAAGGAGGTCAGGCTTAGTCGTCTACGTAGCATAATAGTGTGCAGGTGTTCTACGCGTGCATGTCCCGAGGTTGTGGATCGCCCGAGTCCACTTGGGACTCGCACATACCTGGTAGGGTGGTGAGGGGATGGTCGATGCTGGAATTCGTAGGCAAGGGGTGAGAATCCCGCTCTGGGGACCCCATCTGGGACCCCATCTCGTTTCCCCATGTCCCAGCGTGAGCGAGTCCGGGGCTCCGCTGCAATGATCGTCCGAATTTTTGGAGGCGATCCGGGGTGTGGTCCAACGAACCGAGGATGGAGACGGCAATATTAATCTGATCGATCCATCTGTCTCCCCCGAAGTTACGCGAACATGCGTTGAGGGGAACTGAAGTTGTCTTAGATATATATACTACAAATCCTCCGCCAGTCAGTCGGTCAACTTCCCTCTCCATCCAAGACTGGCTTTGTCCCCTACCTTCTCCGGTCCCCCCCCCCCCCCCTCTTCCACGATCAATCATCGTTCAGCGGGACGATAAGCGGCAATTACCGCGGGACTGAAACCTGCTCACAGAGGCCACCGAAAAGAAGTGAGGAGATAATCGGAATGGAGGACGAAAAGATCGACCGCGCGACTCAGAGCGTGGAGCACGCCGCCGCCGCCGCCGCCGACGGCAAGCAAGAGGTGCTATTCCAACAATTCGGCAGCGCCAGCCAGGAGTGGCATACAGACATGAGCAAGAGGCTCCTAAGGAAGGTCGACCTCCACCTGCTCCCTATGCTCGTCCTCATGTACCTCTTGAACTTCCTGGACCGGAACAACCTGTCGCAGGCTAGACTCGGGACGCTGGAGGTGGATCTCGGCATGGCGGGGACGGATTTCAACCTCGCGACCAGTATTCTGTTCGTCGGCTACCTGCTGATGCAGCTACCCTCGAACTTGATGCTCACTAGGGTGCCGCCTTCGATATATCTCGGCATTGCGATGGTAAGTTCAGCTCTGTCCAAACACGATATCCCCCGAAGCCGCTGCTAAATTAGTATTGGCAAATAGGCCATCTGGGGTGTCATTTCGGCTTGCCAAGCAGCGGTGAAGAGCTTTGGCGGTCTCATCGCGTGCCGGTTCTTCCTCGGCTTCGCCGAAGCCCCCTTCTTTCCCGGCGCCGTCTTCCTCATGTCGTCGTGGTATACCCGTGGCGAGTTAGCCCACCGGATCGGCTGGTTCTACGCCGGCAGCTCGCTGGCGAACGCGTTCGGCGGTCTGCTCGGCGCCGGCGTCCTAGGAAACCTGAGTGGCGCGCACGGTATCTCTGGCTGGCGCTGGCTGTTCATCATCGAGGGCACCATCACCGTCGGCGCCGCCCTGGCGGCCGCCCTAATCCTTCCCAACTACCCCGCTACCACCAAGTGGCTATCGGAAGAGGAGAAGGCGTACGCGCAGTGGCGCCTCGTCGAGGATACCGGCGAGGCTGACAACGCGGATGCATCGACCGTCATGGATGGCGTTCGTCTGGCTTTCAAGGACCCCAAGCTATATCTCTTCACGTTCCTGCAGCACATCTCGCTCCTCTCCCAAACTTTCCAGTACTTCTTCCCGACGATCGTCAAGGCCCTCGGCTATGACGACATCAAGACCCTCCTCATCACGGTAAGCACCCCCGTCCTCCTCCCTAGATCGCGAACCGTGCGGGGACTTACATGTTCTCCAGGCCCCTGTATGGCTGGGCACCTTCCTGATTTCCCTCCTCGTGACCTGGACGTCCGGCCGCTTCAACGACCGCAGCATCCACATCGCCTCCTTGATGATGGTATCGGTCGCGGGATGGCTGATCGTGACATCGACGACGTCGCTCGGGGCGCGGTTCTTTGCCATGTTTCTCATGCCGTTCGGCGCAGTGTCGTCGTACCAGATCATCCTCGCGTGGGTGGCCAACAGCTTCCCTCGGCCGCTCGTCAAGCGCAGCGTCTGCATCTCGGTGGCCAACATGGTGGGCAACTGCGCCAACATCTACGGCAGCTACATGTTCCCGAGCAGGGACGGCCCGCGCTACGCACCCGGTGGCTATAGCACGGCGGCCATCGCTGCGCTCGTCGCCGTCATGACGGTGATCATCCGGTTTGTGCTCATCAGGAGCAACAAGAAGCTCGAGGAGCGGGAGAACTTCGAGGCTAGCGGCCAAGGGGCCGGCGCCGAGAGCGACCCCGATAGGAGGATGGTAGGCTTCCGGTATATCCTATAGGGGGTATCTAGGTCTATATAGTGTGGCTCACTCAAATAATAATGTAAACTTCTCCCAATACCCCTACTCGGCAGCCAAAATCTATAGGCTTCCCCCTACCGGGGTTTCGACCGGAGTTCCGGCCGAGTTTGCGTATGCGCCTGTTCGGACGAAACGCGTTGACGTGGCCTGCTTAGCCACCTCTTGCACTGCCCCATAAGCTAGGGCACCCCTCTACGAGCTACCCCTTTACGGACTACCGCGTTAGGACCTACGAACGCGCTTTTTAACGCGACGTCCTTACTTAAATAACCTATAATTTCTCGGTTAGTTTTAATCTTTAATAATTCCTTTTGCCATTAATCTCTTTCTAATTTCTTATTAATTAAGATAATATCTTTAAAGGAAACGTAAATCCGTACGGAAGCCGTTATTTAGAAGGTTATATACGGTATTAATATCCGATAAGTTACCTTTCAATATAGCGTTTTTCGTTCCTACCTAACGCGTCGTTTCGTTAGTAAACTAACGAAATAAGAGCTAAATAAGAATCGGTAAGCTTTATTACCGATCTTAGAAGTTAAATTAATTCGTTAGGTTATTTCGTAAGATAGGTTAGGCTTCACGCCGGCTTTTATTTAATTTAGGCTTATGACTAACCGTTTATTAAACGCCGACGGCGGTTCTAGAAAGCTAAGAAAGCATTAGTATTATCGTTTTTTAAATCGAAACCCGGAGGTTAAGGCCTTTAAGGTTAAGATCGTTAATTATAAACAGATTAAGGGCGCTACGGCGGTAAATATTAACCACTTTTTCGACTGATTAAAAGCTCTCGAATTATTAGCTATTGAACAGGAGCAGCGTGGGCACGCTGTGATGGAGGCACGAAACAAGGACTGCCCAACTGCCAACAACTGGCCCAGTGCCGATCAACCAAGATCACAGCTGTAAACAGCTGTAATCGGTTGATCGGCCAGCTGAAAACGGCAGCTGGAAAAGGAGGACTAGAATGGTAGGGCAATAGGGATGGCGAGAAAAGGCATAGCAAGAAACGAGTGAATAGCTGTAGGTCGTGATGCCTACAGGTATAAGTCTAACTGATGAAAATATGAGTGCGCGACCTATATAAATAGACATCGAAAAGGCTACGTAGTCTAAATCCACCGCACTACTACAATACCGATAAGTTAAGATCGATATAATAACTTTTCGAATTATTAAAAAAGTTTAAAGAACCTTTATGATTTATTCTAGAAACTACGAGAAGTTATTATCGTCGAGATTCGTAGTTATAAAGGATAAGGATATTCTTAGATCTCGGCCGAGACGGTCGGAGATATCGGAGGCTATCGAAAGACCGAAAATACCTAATTTCCTAACGTTATTAATTTTAAAATACGTTAATATATCCTTAAACGATTAAGTATTACGAAACGTTACTTAATGGTTTATTCTTATTAGTTCTAGGGCTAAGGCCGTATCGTAATAATTATTTATTCAGAAAACTAACTGTCACGGTTTTAAGAGCTGTTCGCTGGGTAAAAGCCGTATGTTAATAAACTAAAGCTAAACGAGGAGAAAAAGGAAGAAAGTATACCCTATAGGCCGCACTTACGACAGCTAGCCTTATCCGCCGTAGGTACTAATCACGTGCTAAGCCCTGGCACTAGCCAGGGCCCTACTATGGGCATAGCCCATTACACTAACGATACCTTCGACCGGTAGGTTAATACGATCGCGACACTGTAGTAGTGCGGTAAGACATACCCTCTTAATGCATTACGTAACACGCTACGATAGGCCTTATACCTATATAAAGTAACTATAGCTCCCGTAAGTACGGGATATACCATGCTTATCATCTAGTTCATTACCTAGCTAAATTACTATCTTTATTATTTTTACCTTAATTAAAGATTCGTTTTTATTATTAAATTCGTCGTTCTCCGATTAATATATCTATTTTAGTTATAAGCGCTTAAGTTACTTCGTCGTACCGCTATAGCCGAATAAGTAACTTTTACGTTTTACCCTTTTTCTTCCCTTACCTCTTATACCTTCGGGCTAGCGACTATTATATCTTTACGACTAAGGGATATAGCTAAAATACGATAACTACATTAAATTCCTTACCTTTCGATTAATACGGCGATACTAGTTTTATTTATCCTAAACTATCGTACGTATTATAATCTTCGATAGAACGTACCTTCGAATAAACCTATCCGGGTTTTTAATATCGCGTACGCTTTACTCCTCCTTAGTAACGACTACCTTATAACTTTTTCGACCCCTTAACCTTTAATCTACGGAGTTTTTATTACGCTACTAAGATTTAAAGGATACCGATCGCCGTCGGCGCTATTATTTAACCCGCGAAGTAGCCCGCGTTTTACGTTAAATAAAGTATCCCGCCTTATGGTTATTTATTTACTATAGGGAAGTACGTATAAACCCAGGAACCTTTACTACGATACTATAGCCGTTAAGATATTACCTAGCCTTTAATATTTATAATACTAATAAACTATCGATACTATAATATAATACGACGACTAAACCGCGTTTATACCGATTAAGATATCCCTCGTATCGTTATTTACCTACTTATACGAAGGAACCCGTAAACCTAGGGAACTATCGTCGTAATACTACCGCTACTAGGGATAGTACTTAGCCCTCGATATTAACCGCTCCTTCGAACCGCTAATAATATAATATATCTCGTGCGAGTAAATAAAGCTCGTAGCGATTAAGGCAGCCCCCTTATAGTTATCTACCTATTATATAAAAGACGTACGAGCGCCTTAGTATAAATTACGATAACCTATACGACCCGCTACTCCTTTATTAATACTAAGGGCGGATAAAGGCTAATAATAATTATACCTTAACCGACCTTACGATAGCTTCTTTTTTCCTTTAAACCTATTAATCGATATAAACTAAATATATAAATACTAATAACTTATTATACTAAAGGCATTTTAAGATACTTAGGCGTAGCGATTCGACGATATAATATACGATATAATATAAATATTTATATTAATAGTATAAATAAGATTAATAAACTAATAGCTATTAATAACCGATAGTTTTAAAGAGAACTAGGAATTAATATTAATAAGACTACGTAGATATAAAGGATTAGGGAAACGGAACTAAAGTCGAGCTAATAGGTATACCTATATATAAACTAGCCTTATATTACTAACTAATAACTAATATAACGAGAAGTATTAATATAGGCGTAAAACGACGCCTAGCGGTAATACCGCTAATACTATTAAATAACCCCCGTTAGATCGAAACCGGCCTATAGCTATAACCGGTATCGTATCTAGCGCGATCCTTTACTCGGGATCTATCCCCTATACGTATTACCTTAACGAAGGTTATACGTTAAAAGTTCTAGACCTTAATAGGAGGAATTATCGTCGACTTATTTATAATAATTAAACTATTAATCCAGGGAATACGTATCGTACTTTAATTAGGCGTTAGCTGATTAAAAAAGCTCGTATAATACCCGGATTCTATCGATCGGGATAGTATAATAAATAATAATATACCTATATTAAAGGAAAAGTATTAAAATATAGATAATAATTATTATACCTTTACCCCTATATTAGATAATAAAACCCTTACTATTCCCCTTTTTACTTTATACCTCGTACCGATAAACTAAACGGAATCCGTAGCTAAGAAACGGAATAAATCGCCGTTAGGACCTAAAGTAATAAAAACTAAACTACTAATAAAAACCTTAAGAATCGATACTAGCTCTTCGCTTCTATATCCGCCCGAAGAAAAAAAGGACGACGATAAAACTCTTACTTAGCTATCCCTTACCCGCGGCTCTATACTTATCCCGCTAATCCCTATAGCATTATCTTAAAATAATAATAACGGGGCCTCTAGTAGTTAAAATATACCGATAGCTACCCCGATTATCGTAATACTAATCATTAGGTTCCTTAACCCTACCGATTATCCTAGGCTTAAGTTTAATAAATATAATATAACCTAATAACTAAAGAAGGTAAATCGATTATTTAACCGCTACCGTATAAACGACGACGATAAGATTAAGGAAATCGGCGAATAAATTACGACTAAAACTATTAGAAAGCGTATTAACGACGTTACGAAGGATTAAACGATCTAAAGAGTTATCGTTATAGCCCTAAAGTACCGTTTTAAAATTACCGATAAACTAAGCTAAGTTAACGTTAAACGTAAATTCGTATAGCTAAAACGAGGCAACGTAATTAACGATCTTAAAGCGATCTTTACGTATCTTATAAACTATAAACGCCTTTTCAAGCTCGTAAACGATAACGGAAAGCTTCCTTAAAAAGTAGGATACCTAATCGATAAACTCCGGATATCCCTAATTATAAAGTTCTATAAAACGGGAGACTATAACTATAATAGAATCGGAGATATCGACTACCGGACTCTTTATACCTAGCTTTATAAGTAAGCGGAACGTCGTATAGTAATATAAATTACCGATAAGGCCTAAGCCGAAGAACGACGATAATAAAAAACGATAACTTTCGAAGAACCCGAGAAACCTATAATATAAATAATTTAACGATTAACGACTCCTAGCCTCTAGATACCTTTACTACCGCCTTCCTCGTAGCCTAAACCTTCTTAAGGCTACCTAAATATTAATTAAGAAGCTAATATATAAGCCTTCTACGACCGACTTAACGCTTTAGAAATAAAAATAACTTCGTAAAACTACCGTTAGGATAATAGCTCTTATAATCCTAGAGGTACGTACGACGCCGATTAATAATATTAATAGGAAAACCCGTTCCTAGTAAACGCGGTTCGGAACCTAAGTCTTTATAACCTATAAATTAGCGGAAGAACCCTAGTAGGCTTTAAACGTAATATTATATTAAATTACCGAGGTATACGTAGTAGGATTCTATTAACCTAAACGAATAACTATAAGGAATTCGAATATTAATTTTACGGTACTCTTAATCGGCTTTATAACTATAGCCGCTATCCGCTACTAATAAATATAACCTAGAATCGGTTCTACTATAGGAATAATAAGCGATTATATTACCTCGAGAACGGAAACCCGGATAAGCCGGAATTAATACTAATCCTAGGATCGATTATTACTTAAGCTAAGCGTAAAGGAGAATCGATC